ATGTTTCCCAACCTTGGTCACTTGAGGATATGTGGACTTCAACTCCCAGAATTCCCCAGACAGCCTAACTGAGGAATTCTGGGAGCTGAAGTGCACATATCTTCAAATGGGCAAGGAAAGGGAACACTGATTTAACCACATAGTGTGAACATTTCCATTTGGAGGAAATTTTACATTTACTTCCTGTCTAGGAGCCTTGGACTGGTTAATGGCTAGATCTTGGTTTCTATAAGGCTTCAGTGGGACAAAATAGGTCAATACTGACATTTCCAGCAGTGTCAAATCATAAAGGTCAGGATATCTGAAATGTCCTTTTTAAATGCTTGATTTTAAATGTTCTCTGTTTAGGAAGAGATGCACGTATGTGCAATGGCAGTTCTCGCAGGGATTGAAGCTGGATGGCTGAAACCAGCAGTGGGCCCTGAATACCCACTGGAGAAAGCGGCAGAAGCTCATAAAGACATAATCCACAGCCAAGGGGCTTTGGGGAAGATGGTGCTTCTTACATGTTAATTCATGTTGTTAAGTTCTTCTGCAGTAATCCCATAAATGCGAATTGCAGTCTTTATGCAATGCATTTGAAATATACAAAATGAGATGCGGAAGTAAAATATAACACAAACAACTGGTATGAATTTGCACAACAAATTTAAATGTTTGTATCAGATTTCACATGATTAAATGATTTATCTTTGCCCTTCTGAAAGTCTTTATAGATCCTTGTAATTAGGGGCATACTTCTGAATCATGCTTTGCTAGTCTATATTCATGAAATTTCTAAAAAATAAATACATATTTGGGCCGATCTCAGTATGCATATCTTCTGAGATTTACAGATCACAGAACCCTGTTCATTCAGGAACAAACAATCAACAAAGGTAGAGCTAATAAATTATTTGTTTTATTATGTTACAGAATGGCATTCATTAGTTGTATCCTCTGTTAGGGTACCATATGTCTAGCAGTAATGACAACAAAATTCCAGATCGTCCAATTTCTGATTTTTAATGCAAGCTGGAGAGGTGTGGATTATATACTGCCCTATAGTGCTTTACAGCCCTCTTTGAGTGGTTTACAGAATTAGCATATTGCCCCCAATAATCTGGGTCCTCATTTTATTGACTTTGGAAGGATGGAAAGTTGAGTCAACCTTAAACTTGTTGGGACTGAATTCCTGGCAGTGGGGCAGAGTTAGCTTGCAATACTGCATTGTAACCATTGTGCCACCACAGATATAGTACAAAAGTAGTAGTTTGACACTAGGAGCCAAAGTTAGTCTTAGGCTTGTGTATTATATGTATTTCTGTACAACTGTAAAGAGCTCAGAATTATATACTTACATAGTTATATAGCTCAAGTAAGTCAACTTTCAAGACATAATTTATTGAATGCCATTCCAGTATACTGAAAATTAGTAAATAATGTATAGTGCCAAGTAATGCTTTGTGTAATTCATACTTTCTGAAATTTGGCTTCGAAATACATTTTAACTCTATGATCATTGATCTGATTCCCACCAAATGCTGTATCTGACATGTATCTCTGGATTGCTTGCTTTGCCTGAATGCATTATAGATATGGAATCGTGTTAGCGCTGAAGGGTAATCTTTCTTGGACTGGTGAAAACTTACAGATATATAACTTGCAGGTTATTTTATATGATCAATGATGTTTTCAGTTCAAAGCATAACTGAAGGCGAGCAGTTAGGTGTGAAGGCCAGGTAGTAACGATTTGACACTATGATGGAAGCTGCTAGTACTGGCTGAATAGAACCTACATTCTGTAAATATTGGGTTTGTGAACCCAATGATTCCTGGGAAATTCCATCTTTGACTCTGAATGGGGCGTAGGGTCACAATTTGGGGGTTATAAAGTCACACTGCTGCTTGATGACAGAGTGACAGCTGTAGCTAGGAGGCCTTTGCACAGCTACATCTTGTGTGTCAGTTGTGACTATCTTGGACTGGGAGGCCCTGCACTCATCACTCATGCTATAACCACCTTCTGTTTGAATAACTGCAACATTCTTCATATAGCTGCCCTTGAAGTGCATTCAGAAGCTACAGCAGTTACACAATGTAGTAACTTGAGCAGAAAAGGTACCTCCCTATCTACCTATTGCATTGGGAACTACATTGATCTCCAATTAACTTCTGAGTATGTTTCAAGGAACTGGCTGTCCCTTTAAAACCCGAAGTAGCTCTGGACCTAGTAATCTGAGGACCTTTCTTCTATATTGGATCTGTTTGTGTAACAAGATCAGGTAAGGTCAATTTTCTCCAAATTCCATCCCTGATGGAGTCTCAAATCCATGCGTTTTGACTAACTGATCTCATTCTTTGGAAGTCCCACTTGATAGGTAGCCAGTTTTGTTCCTCTTGGACTACAAAGGTTGTGGAAGACCTACCTGGTCCATTTTTGCACAGGAGGAGGAGGGTATGGTATAACTGAAGGTAGAGTTTGCAGGTGTGTGGGATTTCTATGTTTCTGAGCTTTTTTATTATTATATGTACTTGGGCTATTTTATTTTATCCTGTTGTTATTAGCCACCCAGAGGCTCCAGGAATGAGCAATCTACAAGTAAGTAAGAAGTAAGTAAATAATTGTAAATGATAAAGATAAGAAAATTGATGTCCAGTTTCTCAGTAGATGGATAGTAGAAATTAAAAGCAGGGAAATGTTGTGATTGACTTGGGCGGTGAGTAGAAGCATGGGGGAATGAAATTCCTGTTCCCATTTTTTTTCTTTTGTAAAGAGCCTGTGGATCTCTATAGTAAATACTGGCATTCCAAGTGAAATTGACTACATCCTAACAGAAAAAAGCCACATAGATTTGCTGATCATTTACATACAAAAATTATCCCAATATTGAAAAGCCCATGAAAAATCTTCACAAGTGCTGTAGAGTATTTTGATGATGATCTAAAGCTGTCTTTCTTTTTTATTAAAAGAATTTTAATAAAATTTTATAAGAATTTTGAAAACAAAAAACTGACAAGACTAGTCTTTAGAGTGAAAAAAAAAGAAAGAAGAAAAGAGCAAAGGAAACAATGCAGAAGAAATCAAAGAAAAGAAGAAGAAAAGGTTCAAAAAGTGACCTGATTTTTTTTACAGTAGTTAGAACTATAAGTATAAATCAACCTCTTACTTTATGGTTACAGCATTGTTTATGTTTTTCCTATAATCTATTATTTTTATTCTAATCATCAAAACTATTATAACTTCATTTTGTTTCAGTTCCCTGAACACATTAATATGGAATTTCCAATTGTTGTTAAACATAGACAATATCTTCACTCTGATTAAATCAGTCAATCTGGCCATCTCAGCAAGTTTCATTATCTTCACTTTCCATTCTTCCATTGGGAGTGAAGATCCAAAATTCTCCAAGGTCTGAGGGTCCTATATGCTAAATCTTGAGGAAGATTTGTTGTTCAGTCACTAATTGATGTCCATTTCTTTGTGACCCCATGGACCACAGCATGCCAGGCCTCCCAGTCCTTACTGTCTTCCAGAGTTTGCCCAAAGTCATGTTGTGTTGATACTATCTAGCCATCTCATCCTCTGCCATACTCTTGGTTTTTTTGCCTTCAATCTTTTCCAACATCAGGGTCTTGTCCTCTCATTAGATGGCTGAAGTACTTTAACTTCAGATTTAGGCTAGGAAAGGGGTCTTCAAACTTGACAGCTTTAAGACTTAAGAATTCCTCCTTCAGTCATGTTAGCTCAGGAATTCTGGGAGCTGAAGTCCACAAGTCTTAAACTTGCCAACTTTGAAGAGCCTTGGGCTAGAATAATAAGAATTACAAGAGTTTCCAACAATCAAGGGTCAAGATTGGTCCTTTATTATAATTTGGATGTAAATATGCATATTATGTGTTTTTAAGGGACTTCAACTTAAAAGCAAGCATGATATAAAGCGGGGATAGGAAATCTTCAGTATTTTGGACTACAGTTTTCATAAATTTCACTCATTGGATTGCTGGAATTCTAATCCAAAGCATCTGGAGAGACAATTTTAAATGTGTATAATTTTTCAAACCACTATTGGAGATGTTCTGCCTATTTTCCGTTGGTGAGGCCTCTCACTGGTGTTGAAGTAATTATGAGAGTTTATTGACTTCCCACCAGAAGGTGTCATGCGAGTATTATTTTAAACACATTTCTTTTCTATCACTTTTGACTCTGAAGGAGGAAAATAATTGTAACATCATTTGCCAGAATATAATTTTACACCCTTTACTTGAGATGCATGTGGGATTCTCACAGAAGATGGTAATTATTGGAGACCTTCCTTTTTTAATAGGTTATGTTTTGTTTGCAAGATCTATGACAAACTTCCTTCACAAAGAATGAACAAACCAGTCTGAAATTCAGTGAGCTGATACGAACTTTATGAAGGCAATAAACTGAAGCCAATGCTATAAATGGATTTGGAGGACATACAAGCTATTGGATTAATATAGTATAGTAAATGTGTCATGGTCTGAAGGACCAATTTATGCTGGCATAAAAAAAAGCCAGCTTCATACTTTTCCATAAAGATAAATATCATGTTTTGTTTAACAATCTGTTTTCTACAGCTAATTCTTTTCTTCATCACATAAGCAAAATTTATAGAACTTCAAAAAAAGACTTTAATAAAAAATATTTTGCTTTGATCAGATATTTGGGGATGTTATTCTTAGGGATGCCATTTCTTTGTTTTTAACCATATTGCCAAGTACACAAGATACAACTCCTATCTGTATTCTTGGTTCTCCAATATTCTTCCTTTGGCATTCAGTGATTGCTAAACTAACCTTCATAAGAGTCCAACCAGCAAAAACGTGTTGAGAAACAACATGCTTGTAACAATGGCTGCTAGACCAGTTTCCCATTCCTGCTCTATAGACACGATGATCTTATAAATACATGTGATTTTTGCTGCCATTTCTAGAACTGATAAGATCCAGCTATATTACAGATAGCTGTTGTGCTCTGCCAGCAGCCTGTGGAGATGGCAGCAGAATTGGACAGTGGGGAAGAACATGGGCAAGTCCGGGAGGCTGGGGAGGACTTGCACTTGGGTCCTGCGTCCTATACAGAGATGAGTGGTCTCTTCCACAGAACAGCTCTAAGCCAAGCTGGAGCATTGCGCAAGGCGAGTACAAGCAGCTCGCTTCTGCTTCTCCCTCTGCCTCTCTCTCTCTCCATCTACTTGTCTGCGTCGGGTTACAGGAGCCCGGGGAGAACTGGCTCTCCTCCGATCAGGAACGGGCAGCTCGGCTTCCCCTATCAGCGCGGAGAGCCCGCGCAGCCTCCCAATTCATTGGGTCAAGGGAGACCTTTGCGCCCACCTCTTTCAAAGCATCACCACGTGGTCCTCCCTTAGCAACACGAAGACCTGCGTTGATGCAGGAGACTGGAGGGGGGGGGGGGGGGGGGGGGGGGGGCGGGGTGGGGCGCCCCCTCCCCCACCCCCACGCCAGGGCATCAGTTGGGTGCGGGCTCTGTCTGGCGCGAGGCAAGGCGAGGAGAAGCGAGCCAGCGCAGCCTCCAGGCGCTGAGAATGAAGGTTCTCATTTAAAAAGCATCCAGCCTTGTTAGCGCCCCAAAGCTGCCCTTTGGGTTTCCAGTGCATTCTCCCCACACCAAAAAGAGCTATTCTGTAAGCATGAATCATCCCCATTCTGGGTAAGTGAGAAGCTTCCAAATACTTGGGTGAGGGTGGATGGGATGAGATCAAAAGCCATCTCTTTGAATTGCTGTCAGTCTATCTGATCTCCTGAGCTGCTGGGTTATGAATTCATTTTCTGAAGAAAAAAACCAACCTTTTTTTTTTTCTTTCCTGTCTGTGCCTCAGAGATCAGAACCCTTTTCTCCCCGGTTCCTGAAATGCCATTTCTTTGGCTGTTGGACGGCACAGGTCACTTCAGCAGCTTGAGTTGTAGGCAGCCCACTCTCCTCAGCCCCAGGTTAAGGAAATGCTGTTTAGCACATTTGGGACAGCATAGGGTTTTGACTAGGCTGAAGCTCATCCATCTTCTTCAGGCATGATGGAGTGGCAGGGAGCATGGAGAAATAATTTTAATTTGCAAAAAAATTGCATCTCAGAATGAAATGGTTACATTCTTTATTTTGGACAACCTGTTGGAATATAGATTTGGCAGCTCCTGCTAGTTCGTCAATGGAGTCTTTCAAGCAAGGAGGGGGAAAAAAAATCTAATCTAAATTCCCTTGCTCTGATGAAGTTTTCGTTTGTTTAATGAACCATAGTAAACATTTTTTTAAGAAAGTAGGTGATCAAACCTAAAGGCAGCCAACTTAAATCATTGTAAGATTTATGCATTAGAAAGTTAATAACCTTGATGTTGAATGTTCAGAGTAACACTGAAAGTTTTCTAATTAATTCTTGAGAGATTGCAAAATCAAATTTTAAGGAAATATGAAGCAACTTTAATACATTCACAACTGGCCAAGTGCTAATGGCTAGAAAGTCTGAATTTTATCATGAAAAAAAAAATGTGTATGTGTATCTACCTCTGTGTCCTAGCCATTACATAAAATATTCCACTGAAAAATAATAGCAAGATCCACACATTACACTAAATCTAAATTTCATTTATTTAACCAATCCCTAGTTTTCAAACCATTTATATTGTAACACTAGATATGGATCAGTCATAAACTGTCATTCTCATGCAATGCATCAGTGCATGTATACGCAAATATACAGAGGGAGAGTAAAACATTTGTGTTTTCATGAATTGAAAAAAATTAGCATAGGATCTGTCATTTTTCTGTACAAGTCTTATCTCTTTCAGATTGCAGTAGAGGACTGATTTTTTTTTTTAAAAAAATCCTCATATAAAAAGTCCTTTCATGCAGAAAAATAGTGAATCACAGAAGCTGTTGTCAGTACCGATGCAGTAAGAAGCAATAATCATAACAGGACAAAACCGTCCTTCTTCATAATTATTATTAAATAATCCTTATGTTGCATATATAGTCTTGCTTAATACGATGGATATCCCCATGAATCTGGATTACAGTTCTCAGTCTGTATGGCCGTCAACCACAGTGACTGGGAATGATAGAAATTGTAGTCCCAATATACTAGGTTGGGGAAGGAGAAGTGTAGTCCTGCTGTGGCTTTCATGACCATCTGGAAGGCCTTTCTTTGCTATTGACTTGGTTGGGGATTGCTTATTATGACCTTATAGGAGAGTTTCTGTAGGCTACCTTGGTTTTTCCCCTCATTATCATGATCACCTCCAGCCATTGTTTTCTCCGTCTACTGGCTCTTTCCCCTTAGATCACCCTTCTAGCATTTCAATTTCCTTCTCACTGCAAGATCTCCTGACTGTAACCACAGTAATATTTATTCAGTACCTTCTCATTAATTTCTCTATGCCTCTTTTTCCTTGTTCCTTCTTCCTTCACACCTGTCTTCCAACCACGCTTCTCCCAGGTCTTATCATTCTATTTATAATTGCCAACTTTCTTTAATCACCAAATGTCTATGTTCTTGCCCTTTTAACTTCTCCATCTTCCAGGATCTTTTCCAGCCTACCTTGAAAGTTAGTTCAGATTAACTAATTAGCACCTCTGTCACAGCGACTTTTTATTTTAGGCAGAGTAATAGCTTCACAGAGGTTGCATTGCAAATATACCCTGTCAGTTTTGTCTCTGAAATATAATATATTCATCAACATCCCGGCGCCCTTTCTCTATGTTAGAAATCAAAAAACCCATTTGCAAATGGAACATGGACCCTTCAAAAGCATTTTTTTAAAAAATAGGACACAAACAAAGACTTCATGCCCAGTTGTTGAGGGAAGGTATTTTTGATGTTTTTACAAACAGAGACTGCAAACCAAACTGAGCCTAAACTCGTCGACATGCCTTATGAATACAAGTAGCCCTTGACTTATGTTTAATAACTGGTCAAAGGTAGAATAGACCCCTGAAAGCTGCTTATGACCCAGTTCTGAAGTTATAACATCCAGGCCTCCCCTGCAGTTCCTTGATTGCATTTTGGGTGCTCTGACCTGGTGCTCATTTACGACTGTTTCCAGTACTCCATGATCATGGGACTGATGTTTTGTGATGTTTCTCCCCCCAGAAACTGGCATTTATTTTGAGTTTTTTTTCTTCCTACATGATATATTTTATTGATTGGTCTACATGCCATTTCAATTGTCAGCGATTAAGATTAAAAATCGTACTATTGTATCTTACTCATAATATTGCCATATGATTTACTAATGCATATTTTCCTTCTATTTCATCCATTATATCCAATTGATTCCTCTGCCTTCTTATTCTGATAAATCATGGAAACTGACCATATTTAGAAAACCCAAATAGAAAATTTAAAAAAAAAACAATTCAAATTAAGGATAACCTTCATTCTAAAAATCTTTAATAATTAAAATCCTGGCTAAAAAGATGTGGTTTTTTTCTAATCATCTCATGGGAGCGAAACACCATGACTGGTTTCACTGAACTAAGCAGAACTGAATGTGAGCCAGATCACAAGAATTCCAAAAGCTTATGATAAGAGGAAGTTAGAAAACATAACAACAACTACAAAAGGCAGGAGTTGCTGTCATTCAAAAACCAGTCTATAGAAATCAAATCCTTTTGCATTTTATTTTTCTTTATACCCCATGGCAGGTATACCTTGCCCTCTGATTTTGCATATGTTGACCTGTTTCCACCTGCCCTTTAATTTTGCAGTGGTCATATTTGTTTTTCACTAACTGTGCAATAACTAACACACCCAGCTCTGAGTGCATTCCATTACCCAGAAACAACGCAAGGGAGGACTTTTTAATTCATATCGCAAAGACCAGCCTTTTGCTAACAGAGGCATCTCCAAAGAGACCTGTCCTGTAGATCTTAAGAAGGTTGTAGTGCCCTTAAACCTTTTAAAATGAATGCAATAGCAAGACTTTAAATTGTGTCTCGTAAGCAATTGACACCATGTAATTTTTGTGGCTTGCACCTGATTCCCTCATTTTTGACCCATTGCTATTTCTGGACAGGTTTTTTTTTTCCTACATGAAATAGTTTATTTACTGATCTTACATGGCTTTCAATTGTCAGCGATTCTGAGCAATTTCCTTGGCCTATGTCATAAAATAAGATTAAAAATCGTATTCTTGTATTTTACTCATAATTTTAGGTCAGGAACTATAGATACAGTTTAAAAAACATAACAGAAGGAAAAAAATGATTCATCTGTGTTTTTCAAGAATGGATGGAAAATTATTATTCGTGTTTTAATGCTAAGTGGTTTTTTTGGGGAAAGCTATTCCAAAGTCTCCAAAGAAGAAGGATAGTGGCTGAAAAGGGAGGTTTTAATGAAGCTTTTTGACAATATCCTAATGTAATAGCATAGTTTTGCAAGCTGTTGATTTCTTCTTTTTTATAACAATCAGCTGCTGGTAAAAAGATTTGTAAATATAAAAGAAAAATCAATAGATAAAAGTGTATTATCACCCAAGATCAGCCATTTGCTAGCTGATAGGGTTTTTCAAACTGCCTCTTTCAATAATGACCTTTGATTTTGATTTTCCTCTTTTAGTCCTAATATATGTAAGCATATTTGGTTTTTATTAAAATTAGAAAGAGTTAGGGTCAGAGGTATCCCTGGTAAATGCCCTTGAAAGATTTGTTTGGGTGTTTAATTTTGTAAGTGAAAAGATTAGTAGAAAAGAGCCACTTGTAATTAATAGAGGTTCCTTCATAATTGACTATGGTTCCATGGTGGGATTCAGTGGGGAGGTTCTGTGGGTGTGGCTTGGTGGGTGTGGCTTGGTGGGCATGGCAGGAGAAAGATACTGTAAAATCTCCATTCCCACCCCACTCCGGGGGAAAGATACTGCAAAATCCCATTCCCTTCCCATCCCACTAACCAGCTTTCCAGCTCCGTTCTCCTGTGCAGGGCAACAAAAGAAGACCCAGCCGATCAGCTGGGACTTGGGAGGCAGAGAATAGATGCAGGTGGGGCCAGTCAGAGGTGGTATTTGCCAGTTCTCTGAACTACTCAAAATTTCCGCTACCAGAACTGGTCAGAACCTGCTGAATACCACCTGTGCTATGGTTACAATAAATATGGGAGTGTTGGAGGTTGGAAGCCATACAGCAGAAGACAAGTCAATACAGATACCATACTTGAGAGGACTGTAGTTGAATCAGCACACTGCACAAGTACATGGGTAGACTGATGGACACTAAGCAATTTTAGAGACCTATATACACCCACCTTGGTGTCATCTACTTCGGATGTTTATTTTTGTCAAGTGAACGCTATCATGAGTGGAGTTCTGGGACCCTTTTTCAAACACTGATTGTAACACTTCATCTAAACTTTTAGAATTGAAGACTGCATAAGTTAATTAGTCTCAGTCCCCACCCTTTTCCAAAGAAAGAAAAAAGTATCCTAGAGATGACTAATTAATATTTATCTTGCCTTCCCTGAGTCATGTTGTCCATTCAATCACTTGGTTCATATCCTAGAGAAGAGAGTGTCTTTTAGCTACACCAAGTCAATGTTGAGTAGCTAAGGTGAGGTTATATTTTTAGAATAAACTTTTCAAAAACCTTCTTTTGTGAGTTGCACCAAAATATAAGGCCACACTTTCTTGTTATTCATAATACACATTCCTGAATCATCTAACCAAGCTGAATGATAGAAAGCTCATAGCTGGAAAATGGCAGGATTTCTTCCCATAGAGCAGGGGTGTCAAACTCAATTTCATTAAGGGCCGCATCAAATTTGACCTCAGAGGGCCGGCAGGGCAGGCATGGCCATGGTGGGCGTGGCCATGGTGGGTGTAACACGGGACTCATGTGGGGGCACTTGTGGTGGCCAAGTGCTAATGCAGGACTTCCCTGAGACCCTCCCTCACTCTCATTATAATCTTTCTTTCTTTCTTTCTTTCTTTCTTTCTTTCTTTCTTTCTTTCTTTCTTTCTTTCTTTCTTTCTTTCTTTCTTTCTTTCTTTCTTTCTTTCCTTCCTTCCTTCCTTCCTTCCTTCCTTCCTTCCTTCCTTCCTTCCTTCCTTCCTTCTTTTTTCTTTCCTCTTCATTCTCCTTTCTTCTTCCTTTCCCTCTTTCCTTATTTTCCTTCCTTCGTCTCTTCCCATCTTTCCTTCTTTGTCTTTCTCTTTCCCTTTCTCTTTTCCTGTCCCTTCTTGCATGCTCAAATGCAAAAGGGGAAACATTTCTCTTTTCGTTTTGTTTTTAGTTCATTTTGATAGCCCTCTGCCAGTGAAAATGGAGCTCGGAGGGCTGCTCATGGCCCCTTCACCGCATTTTTCACTGGCAGAGGACTGCAGAAGGTGGCCCCCCATCTCCATTTTCACTGACAAAGGGCTGCAGGCGGCTGGCACGGCTGAGAACGGGGCACAGGGGGGCATGCACAGCCCCCAACCTCCATTTTTGCTGGCAGAGCTACCACGGGCCGGTACTTTGCTGTTTCCAGGCTAACCTCGTGGGCTGGTTCTAAGCATTCCATGGGCCAGATCGCCCCCCCAGGCCTTGAGTTTGACACCACTGCCATAGAGTATAGATAAACTCTGGAATTCACTTCCACATGATGTAGTGATGGGCATCTCTTCTGACAGCTTTAGTTGTGTAGACAGATTGATTAAAGGATGAACTATGGCTCCTAATCATATTGAACTTATATTGCCTTCAGAATCAAACAGCCTGGCCTTGAACCGTAATGATTAAGAAGATCATTTGGAGAGAGCTTTTTCCCATATGACACCTTTGGTAGGCAGATTGAACTGAAGTGGGCTTTTGATCTTGACTAGCATCTTCCTTCTTAGTAAATTTCTTCACGTTTTCCCTCGCCTCACATAAAGATGTTTTTATTCACTTTTATCCTCAGGTATGATCAGTAAGGTCATGGTAAACAGGTAGTGTTCCATTAATGGTCAGGAACTGGTAACTAGGAAGAGGGTTGCTCCCTTCTGTTCTTTCCAGCAGTGTAAACATTATACCTGTACAATAGTTTGCTATTAGCATTTATAAAAGAAAGCCTAGCCTAGGTTTTCAATAATTTGTGCATGTTTGAGTGAATGGTATACAATTCATTAAGTTGGTGGAAACTATATCTAGGCAGGCAGCAAGTGATGTCATATTATCTGCCATTGTATAGGAATTCCTGAGTGGTAGAAAAGCTAATTTGGTTTGAGGAGTTAAGCTCTCTCCTATGAACTGCGCTTTATTTTCAAATAAAGGGGTTGAATTCCAGGTCTGATTAGAAGTTATCCAGATTAGAAGCTAGTCTAGTGAAGAGAAGGACCAGGGGAGGCATGATAGCAGTGTTCCAATATTTGAGGGGCTGCCACAGAGAAGAAGGGGATGAAGCTATTTTCCAAAGCACCTGAAGGCCAGACAAGGAATAATGGATGGAAACTGATCAAGGAGAGATTCAACCTGGAAATAAGGAGAAATTTTCTGACAGTGAGAGCAATCAACCAATGGAACAGCTTGCCTTCAATCGTTGTGGGAACTTCATCACTGGAAGCTTTCAAGAAGAGACTGGACTGTCATCGGTCAAAAATGGTGTAGGGTCTGCTTGGGTGGGTAGGGGCTGGACTAGATGACCTACAAGATCACTTCCATCTCTGTTAATCTGTATCAGTATCTACCAAAGCTAGAAGTCTTGTGTCACAGATGAGTTAGGTCTGTAGATCTTTGTACGTGTCCAATTTTTCTCTTGGATTTTATTGATATTTTGTTGATCTTGAAAAGAGAGCGAAGTGTTAACCTTGATGGCTTCTAGGAAAAAATAATATTTTTTTCAGGTGGCTTCAAAGAAGCAGAACCAAACTGTCAATGCCCCTTTTTCCATGATTAATTTAAAAATGAAACACTTCTGTGGAGAGGTGGAGACGTGCATGTATGTAGACCAGTTGCCCCACAGTTGCCTCACAGAAGAATCTGCAGCCTCAGATTAGCTGGGTATCATCTTCACAATTTTTTTATTTTTATTTTTCATATGTTCATTCAGTTTGCAGTTGCAGTATATCAACAGCCAGGATTATTTTTATTTTCTCACATGCTCAAAGATAACTTATAGCCTTTACCAACCATAAGGCCACTGACTCCTGTGCCCTCGTTTTTCTGAAGTGCATTATTACTTTCCAGTACAAATACTCAGTGCCTGACCTTGCTTCTTTCCAAGAATCAAACATGAACAAGCTCGTGGTTAGACGGCAACATGATCAGTCTTTCACTCGGTTTCCAAGACTGTTCCTCATTATGCTTTCAGAACAGCATCACTGCTCTGCTGTAATGCCTAGTTTAAACTCCCAGAATTCTTAATTTAGTTTGGCAAAGCAGCCTTTACCAAAATCTATTTCCACAAATCCATAACATATCCTTTGGCTCTCTGATTCTCCTCCTTTGAACTCCATACAGGTTGTTCACCTTCCATGTGGGTGTGGAATGATGAAACTCCATCTGGAAAGCACTACCTGACTCTGTGGTCTCTTCCCCAAACCCCCAAAATTTTAACCTTAGATTGTCTAACATTGACCTCACCCCATTCCTAAGAGGTCTGTAAGGGGTGTGCATAAGAGCACCAATGTGCCTACCTGTCCTAATGTCCCCTTTTATTTGTACCCATTTCATGTACTCATAATCATGTTCCTAATTATATCTGTTTTCTGAAACATGCTTGACAAAACAAACAAATAAATAAAATAAATAAATAAAATGTGAACTGCTGACTTTGAGCTCAATGGTAACAGTCAACCAAGAAATTCAGGAGATTATAACAACCATTTTCATAGTGCCTAAGCTGATACATATCTTCTTTAAAAAAAACAGCTTTCTATTTCAGCAACACTTCCTTCCAGTCTTTCTTTGACAAACACTAATGTTTCCATTTTCTTCTTTCTCTAAAACTTTGAATTAGGATGATTAAGACCATAGATGTTAGTACACCGAAGAAGCAATTTTTGTCTTTTGCAATAAGTTTTTTCAATGTAAAGAATGAAACCTTGAGTGCTTGTTTGTCTTATTCTTTCCTGATTTAGAGTAGCTAAATGTGGAATCACAGTAGATAAATATCCTGTATTTTAACTTGTTAGGTAGGCCATTAAATTCTGAGAAGGAAGTAAGTAAAAGGATATTGGGTGAAGCATTCCTCTCCCACCTCCCCCCCCCCAATTCATGCAGAAAACCAGAGCCAGCAAAGCACACTAAATCAATATTTGGTATAATTACTGTAATCTGGCAGTTTCAGATTCAAATGCAAACAACAGGATAAAGAAAGTAACATAAAACAGTTGCTATAGCACCCGTGTTTAATCACCAGGCATAACACGGCAAACTAAATTATGTGCTTAAAGTTTAATTTATCTCGTGTAGGCTACCTGTGGGATTATTGTGAAACCAAGAATAAACTTCCTGTAATTCTTTTGCCTTTGCCATTGTTTTTATAAAGGGAACAGTTTATTCTTTCTTTTTTGCCTCTCACCATCAGAGTGTTTTTTGTTTTGTTTATTAAAACTAAATACCCTGATAGGATGTAATCTAATTTCAAAAGCATAGGATTAAAACAGCAGAAAAAAAATGATGACTCAGTCCATTGAGATGATTACCATATTATGATATGCTAGTATCTCCTTGCTTGGCTTGATATCTAAAAGGGGTATTGCTTTAATCTCTCTCTCTCTCTCTCTCTCTCTCTCTCTCTCTCTCTCCCCCTCCCTCCCTCCCTCCCTCCCTCCCCTCCGCACCTTTATCATTGTGGAGAATAGAAAATAGCAATATAGATACTTGGGTTTTGGTTTTAAATGTGCTACATATGGACATCAGAGAGCTTACACCCAGTCATTGTAGCTGTTTTAAAGGTTAGCTATAAATTATTGCTACTATTGTTAGTCTTTTGTTTTCACAATTTACAGCTAACAAGCTAAGCTGGGAATAGCTAATAGCCAATGCAGGAGTATTTATATTAAACACAATAGCCTCATCAAATTAAAGTGGACCTTTCCTAGCCTAACCCCTATTAGACCGAAGAGATGTTGACTCTCATATTTTCTATCCAGCACGTTGATAAATTGTAGATGACTGAAAGTATATTTCAGTTTAGCTGGGTTCTAAGCTTGGGCAGAGCCACTCCCAATTCTGAATAAAAACATGATCTTAACATCTGTGCTATTGTGGATCCCTTTAAGAGATGCAGTGGCTCAGTGGCTAAGACACTGAGCTTGTCGATCAGAAAGGTCGGCAGTTTGGCGGTTCGAATCCGTAGCACTGTGTAATGGAGTGAGATCCCATTACTTGTCCCAGCTTCTGCCAACCTGGGAGCAGTTCAAAAGCATGTAAAAATGCAAGTAGAAAAATAGGGATCACTTTGGTGGGAAGGTAACAGTGTTCCGTGCGCCTTTGGCATTTAGTCATGCCGGCCACATGACCACGGAAACATCTTCGGACAGTGCTGGTTCTTCGGCTTTGTAATGGAGATGAGCACTGCCCCCTAGAGCCAGGAACGACTAGCAAGTATGTGCAAGGGGAACCTTTACCTTTACCTTAATTTTCTATTTTTAAACAAACTATATTCTCATACTCTGCTGGTATGTTCATTTCAGATATCTTGCAAATTACAACAGCTTAACAGACAAGCATCTTGCAGGCTATTTCAGCAACACCAGGATAAGACGCCATCTGCGAAGGTCAGGACTGGTAGGTATGCAAATACTTCTTAGTTTCTCTAGATTTATCTCGCCAGCTTTCACTTAAGGAGTTTAAGAAGGCAGACATGATTCCCTCCATTCTTACACCTTGTGAATGAAGTTGGTTAGACTAAAAGAAAGTGAGTGGCTCTGCATTACCCAAAGGGCTAGCCATATAATAATTTGAACTAAAGTCCTTTGTACAAAACTATAAATAGGCAATGACTGAAGATTTTTCCTATTTTCCTTGTTTCATGCCTCTTCTCTTAAACTTATTAAAATAGGCTTGTTATTTTAATCAAATCTAGCCAAAACAGACCCTGAGGCCTTGTCTGTATTGAAAATGCATGCCAATGCAGTTTTATTACAGTTGTCATAAATCATTGTGACAGCACCCAAAGTTACCAATTAAGGTGACAGCATAATATAGTAACCAATATAGATAAAGTCTGTAGCCCTAAGTTCATTTTCTAAGGAGTGTCCAGCTGAATTTTGTGGGACTTACTTCTGAGTAAGCCCATAAGATCGTGCTGTATGGGAATTCTCATGTATTTTCACAAAGGTATGTATGTATACTATATACCTGAGCTGTAAGGTGAGTCATCACATAGTATTATCTGAGATAGTGGGAACCTGAAAAAGCCTAAGAAAGAGTTGAAGTGGGCAAGTAAATGTGTTCAACTGATTATTTGCAAGGTTATTTTAATAGGAGGTAAATTATGAGTAACTATGGAAGCAGAAGAGAAACCTAGAGATTCTATCTCTGGTATTGCTCTTATCTGTTATTTATATTGGAATATTACAACTACAATGATTTCAGTGTTCCCAAGAACAATCCCCACCTCTGAGAAAACAGTCTGATATTATATTGGGCTCTGATATCACATTTCATTTTGGGATACAGTCTGTTTCCTCACATAATAGCTTGTATCCATAGATGTCTGTTATAAGCCACAGTGGCATCAAATGACAAATATGTACATCATGTCATTGTACCATTGATGACACTTCCATAATTTCCATCAGTTACATCATGTCATGAATGTGATACAAGTATGTAAGTCACATTATTTATACCAAAAATATACATGTGTCATCAAGTCCCTGCCCCTTCCCTTATTCCTGTGAAGGAAGGAAGTAACAAACACCTTGAAATCTCATCTGACCAAAAACAGTTATCTAACCTGCCTCTGGCCATCTTTAAAACACACATACTGTACTGCCATTGGCAGATGCTGTCTTTTGTGTCAAAATGGAGGATAAGTGGGACATCTACCATTAAAAAGCAGAGATGTCAGATCCAACTATCATGGTAGCCATGTACCATGGAACAGGAACAACTAATAGAAATAATGACTACTCCAATATTGTATATTTGCTTTTGCTTAATTTATTTAATAAAACAGAACACAGAGAAAAGACAGAGAAAAAATTCAATAAAACAAAAGCAAAAACAATGCAAGATAAATTGTATATATAAGAGTTTCTCATGCATTCATATGAAATTCTCTATGTAATCATTTCAGTAGAATTGCTTTACAATTCATTGTAATCGTCCATGCGTAATCTATGACTGTAGGCAATTCATTCATAGGGTGAAAGTAATATCAACTTCAATCCACTGAATAATTGGGGCTATAAATTTATCTTTCTAACGTTGATGAACTGATCTCTTGGCATTAATAAGAGAATCCATTTCTGCTGTCCAGCTGTCAATTTCCATGTTGCAAATATGTAGTTCAAAGGTACATACAAAAATATTAAACTGTATTTCAAAAATAAATTAATGCTTGTAAATTACGTCTTCCCAAAACAGAGTAACATTAGGACACGGTAAAATATGTCCTTTAATGAAGTCGCAGTAACAACATGATAATTTACTCACACTCCAATATTAGACCTGTTGAATTTAATGAGTAGGATTAGTGAACTAAGGTCTATGCATTTAATATTGGGTGAAGGTGGGGAGTACAGATGAATTAGAGAATGTCTCAGAAAAGTAGAATCACCTCAATCTCTTGTACGTGCTCCTTGACACGCAGAGCTTAGTCTGCAGACATAAAAGCCAAATAGCTTGGCTTTTTTTTTTGTCTCTGACCAATTGTGCTATTTTACAAATGTCTTTCTCCTTCAAATCTGTGAGAGGAAAAATACCTAAAACAGCCCAAGAAGAATGGAAAAATGGCTTTCAGTTCAGCAGATCCAAAATCTAATCACCTAAACTTTCAATAGTGTATGTCTGCCTTTCCAGCATGATGAAATGGTAGCCACAAACTTGGCTGACTTTATTGATTTATTTCTTTTATATCTTGCCTTTTCTTTAAAGAACTCACTCTCATTTTTATCTTCGAAATAAGCTATACTGGGAGATACATTAGACAGAGTGTGTGTTAAGGTCAGTGTCATTCAATGAGCTTCAAGATTGAGTGGAGACTTGAACCTACATATTTGGGTCCCAGTTCAACTATTCTAGCCATTACTACCCCATTGGTAAATTGGACAAATTCATGGGAGATACTCCAATCACGAGGCTGTTTGTGTTCCTTTCAATACCAGTGACAAAATGCCTGTCAACAACTGGTTGCTGAGGAACATAAATGAGAAGATGCTATTTGCACGCCTGTCCTGCTTGTGGCTTCCAGAAGAATCTGGTCAACTACTTTGAGATTAGAATGCTGGATTAGTTAAATGGTTGGTTTGATCTGTTTTTAGGATATTCCTCCCCTACCAACCAAATCTACTTCCTACCGGTAGAGGGCACTTTCACACCATCCTAATCCACTCAGTTGCTTGTCTGAAAGAGCTAGGATTGCTTCTCAGTACATTATACCTTTAGACCATGACTCCCAGTGGACGTTAAACAGTTAATGAATGTGTTGCTGCACATCCTAGAACGCCTGTGTTTCATTACATGCCTAATAGTGCAGGAAGAAATACAGAAATAGATCCATCTGGAATATCCATCCTTTTGTACTGTCTTGCCCTTATGTTATAATCCTCTACTTATTGGAAGGATTTGGGGTTTCTTTTGCTTTATATTGCCATTTCTGCTTGTTCATAAAGTTAAGTGATCCTAACCTTCCCTGGGAAAAAAAGCCCAAATCACAATCAGTTAGAATTTTAGTTGAAGAATTGTGCTCTGCTCATCTGTGTCAGTAATGCAACGTTTGGTCAAGACTGTGCATGCTTGTAGATATGGAGCTAACTTATTTGGTATCTTGAAATAATGTACTGTATTTCTCCTCCATTCCCTTACTGATCCGCTATGCTTACCGTGAGCAGATCATACTTTCCAAAATCAGAAAAGAAGGACTCTTTTTTACTCTTTGTCTCCCATTTATTCAAGAAAGCCTATAAAATGGGGACATGAAGCATTTAACAGGAGAATTCTGTGCATGTTTATGCACATACATAGATACATGTGACTGTATTTAGTTTGGGGGCGAACAGCAGTAGGCAAAGAACAAAAAGAAGCACGAACTAGAAATGCAAGGAAACAAAAGATATGAGACAGGGGTGGGATTCAAAATTTTAACAACTGGTTCTGTGGGCATGGCTAAGTTGGTGGATGTGGCTTGGTGGTCATGTTATTGGCTGAGCGTGGCCTGCTCAATATCACTCACATCGAGGCACGCATCTCCTCACCTGGCCTCTCATGATTGTGGGGATGCTGCAACAGTCGTAAGTGTGAAAAAAGGTTATAAGTCACTTTTTTCAGTGCCGTTGTAACTTTGAATGGTCACTTCACACAAGCAAAGTACCAGCAAAGGAAGGGAAAAAAACTCCAGAGAAGCTCCTGAGACAGGAACTCTAGTCCTGCCAAGAATGTAATAAGGGTTAATGGAAAGGCAGTTTCTGTAATCAACACCAGAATGTTTCCTTCCTGCCTTCCTTACAGGTATAGGTCAGTAATTTCTTCTAACAACTGGTTCTTCGAACTGCTTAGAATGTTAACAACCGGTTCTAGCGAATAGGTGTGAACTGGTAGAATCCCACCCCTGGTATGAGATAAGAAAAAGAATAAACCCAATTTAGGCCAACATAACTGACTATGCTCTCTGTATCTTTCTGAATCTATAAAACGTCTTGCTTCCAGCCCATTTATGCACCGCTTCATATCTTGCCTTTTGTATTTAAATTCCTTACTGTCTCATTTTGAGAATCTCACCAATTTGATCCAATCATGGCTTTCTTGGTTTTCTTTTTGACCCATTGTGTCTTAAAAGATTTGTTTGCAATTTGATGGTCATTCACTCTATAATTAAGCTACCTAAATTGTTTTGTAGTGGTCACTCACTTGTATACTTGATCAACATTTGTCCAGTACCCATTTTTCTTGATGCTTTTTTTGGTTTACCTATAGAGGAGAACATTCGTAGCTCAGAGTTGAACTCAGGATCCTTGGTATTCTCTGAACTTGGTTGTTGTCTTGCAGATGTTTCATTACCATACTAGGTAACATCATCAGTGCTAGAAGGGAGTTTGTTCTTTTGTTTGTATACAGGTATACAGTTTGCCCTGTCAGTGTTGGTGGCCTTTTTGTTTTATTACTCGCCACTCATGTTCCTACTATATTCAATTTATATTTCAATATGTTTTTCTGACAATCCAACTCTAACTGCCATATAACAAAGTAGGCACAAGCATATTCTTCTACACAGCTGTTTTTACTTCCTTTAACATTATTTCCTTATTGCCCATTGCCTTCTATGAATATTAAACATCTTCAGATTTTTCTGTCCATCTTCTCAGGTTAAAATAGATATGCGGTTATCTTTGATGACCTTTAATGAGTTTCTGCTGACCAGGAGAGAACAATAAGGATTTAAGGATTCATTTATAGATAATAGATGAGATATGGGAATAAGAGATCATTTGTTGTATTTTTAGAGAAGGTAATAAGTTACTTAAATTGATTATACTTGTGATGAAAGGGGAAGACATTTCTTTATATATTTCTTTGCTTTTTCTTTGCTATATTATTTTTTTCTTTCTTTTCTATTTTTCTTCTCTGCATTTTTCTTTTGTTTTACTTTGTATTAGCTTTTTTTTAAAAAAATTGTAATGTTTAATAAAATTACTAATAAAAAAGAAAAGTACATGTATCTCCCCTATCAGTATACCTGCACCATCACTACTAGTATTTCTTTTAATTTATTGATTAGTACATTAAAAAAATCAAAGGGACTTGTCTCATTCTCTTTCAGCATTGAAGTGCTTGCAAGCATTTAATTTTTCTTCAAGTTTTCTCTACTTACCATCATATCTATTTTTTTTTTCAAATTCAGTATATAAAGTTATTATTTGAAAAGCATTTCATTTCACTAAAGCTTATTCATTTTATCACATTTCTTCATCCCTTTCTTCATATAGAGACCCATTCAAATTTGTCCATATATTTTCCACATCATTAATTCCATTATGGTACACATTTTTTGTGTTATTTAGCTAAAAGTTGCAATCATTTACTTCATGTCCTGTCTCAATTACAAATACAGGTAGTCCAGAGGTGATATTCAGCAGGTTCTAACCAGTTCTGGAGAATCGGTAGCAGACATTTTGAGTAGTTCGGAGAACCGGCAAATACTACCTCTGACTGGAGATTTTACAGTATCCTTCCCCTGCCATGCCCACCAAACCACACCCACGGAACCAGTAGTAAAAATGTTTGAATCCCACCACTGAGGGAGTCCTTGACATATGACCATAATGGAGTGTGCCCATTATGGTCTTATGACAGTCATAATTGAGTAATCACATGAATGATGTGATTTTATAAACTTTTTTGCAGTGGTAATTAAACAAAGGGCGTGGTCATAGTGAACTCATTGTTTGCTATTGGATTTTTTGCCAAAAACTGGAAGGTTTTCAGCAAAAACATTGTAAATTGTGATCATGTGACTGTGGGACACTTCAAATGGCTGTTGGGTAGGCCCAGCTCTCAGAACTTTGTAACCAGGTTACAAGTGCCTTCGTTTGTGTGTGTGTGTGTGTGTGTGTGTGTGTGTATCCATTGTAACTTTGAATGGTTACTTAGTAACCAACCATAAGTTGAGGACTATCTGTACTCTGGTCTTCCATGTACATTCATGTCCGCAAGCAATATCATTCTAACATTATCGAAACCATTCCACATACAGTATATTTAATGCATTAATACTATTTCTTTTATGGCCATTTTCAATTTCAATTCAATTTAATTGATAATCTATCTTACGATATTTTTCACTTTCTGCAGTCAGTTTACTTTTATTTTTAAAGCTAGCAGAAAGTGCCCTGTCCCACTTTTAGAACCTTCTAGCACCTTCTGGTCTTCAGCAGTTCCCTCAGCTTTTCATTATAAATAGGCAAAACGGTCATGTTTTAGATATATTAATTTGTTTGCCATGCACATGCATGAATAGAGCCTGCTAACAGCTGTTTGAAAGAAATGCATCATTTCCAATGCAGATGCTCACCAAACAGTCTTCGTTCTCATTCATTCTTGGTCACTGAAACACTTCTATAATGTCTTATCTAGTTGCCATTATCCACTCACTTCACTTAACAGAATATTTTTCTTTCTTTCTGGATTGCATTCATTCAAAATATTGCATAGTGTTTTCCCAAAAGCTCATGTTTGCTCTTCTAGTAAGTCCATTTACTGGAGTCAGTGAAATATGTATGATTTAGTTTAGTTTGTGCTGCAAATGCTGTCCCTTTTTAACATCAAATCATTTTCTTTTAATGACCCCATAATCCCTTGTGGGGTGGAGTCTGGGCAGCTGAGTATTTACTGACCAGATGCCCTTCCTTTCACCAATGTGGAGTTATATTCAGCAGATATATTCTCAACATGCCCAGAGTGAGAAATATCTGCCTCTACCTAGGATCAAACTCACAGCTTCCTGATTGTCAGGTGAGAGCTACATCTCTAGGTTAGTATGAAGGGTAACCAAAGCCTAGGTTTACTCCATGTATGCTCACTCTGTTCTGTGCAAGTTAGGATCTAAAACTTAGAGGTGCTTTGCAAACCAAGATATTGCTGCCTATATCCCACCAACTCAGGCATCATGTGGTGTGTTGACTGGCATCCAAGATGGATATTTACTTAGAAGTAGTATGTCCTGCAGAGTTGAATGATATTTGCTATTTAGTATATGTGTCTGGGGTTGTAATTTAATCTAGTGGGATTTCCATGCAGATTATATGTTTTGTACTGAAGTGCTTTACACAAAGGCAATCTTAAATTTCAAAGGGGAGGGGCAGTTTTCTAGTGTATTAAAACAACTATGGAACTTTTTGTGGGTGTCGGTTTGTTGTATAAGAAACAGGAAAAAATATAAAATGAGAATCCAATAGATAATGTTGGTAATATAGAACAGTATGCTTGGTCAAAAGGCATTTGAATAGAAGCCATTTAGAGGAGAATCATGCCACCAAATGAGCCACTTAGCATTTTCAAGTGACATTTGAAGCTAAATAAGCTTGTTCTATGCTCAAGATGTCTAACACACTGAGAATGACTGATGAAGAAGTATTAATGGAATTTGAAGCTTTGTTCCATCTTAATAAACCTGGCTCACTATCAATAATATAGCAGCAACCTATTTTAATGCTATGGGAGACCTTTTGGTGACATGGATTGATTAGGTTCTACGTAGACTTGCTATCTTGGCACAAAGCTCAGGCTTTTAGCATAGTTATATTAAATCATTTCTACCCATGAATGGCACCAACTAGAAAGCTTAATATTAAGCTATTTCTTACTAGGCTGCTGTTCCATACTTTTTTCAGGCATGATTTGTTCTCGAGTGGCTTCATAAATCTGCTATGTCAGGGCATGTTTCCAGTTGATAATTGGAAGGCTACTCTTCAATGCTTGAAAGGATGTGTGTTTTGAAAAGGATACCAAAATTGAACTCCAGCAATTTAGCATTTGGATTTTGAAATCCTCCTTTCACTTATAATAACTAATATAGTTATAAGAAGTGTATGGATCACAAAGAAGTGTATGGATCACTTCTTGGGCTCATGTTAACCACTGAGCTGTGGTGGTGCAGTGGCTAGAATGCAGTATTGCTGGCTAATTCTGCTGACTGTCAGCAGTTCGATCCTGACAGGCTCAAGGTTGACTTAGCCTGTTGATTTTTCTGAGATTGATAAAATGAGGATCCAGATTGTGGGGGTAATGTGCCGACTTTGTAAATCGCTTAGAGAGGACTATAAAGCACTGGGAAGCAGTATTTAAGTCTAAGTTCTATTGCTGATACTATTAAATCCAGAAAGCCAGTTCAACTCCCTATAGCACAGACTTGGGGGAGGGAAAAGGAGGGTGTTGGGAAGAGGAAGGGTATTCCCATCCACTACATGCATCGGCATTGCCCACTAAAAAGTCTATTAGTTTATCCCTCTGGGTATATATGTGGTCTGTGATGAAAAAAAAAAAGTCCACCCTTGCTGTAATGCAAGCAAAACTTTATGTCAGAAGAACCTAGCCTGTCTCCCTAATGCATATATAACCAGATCCTGGTTATGTAGAACATCACATTTTTTGCTGGAAAGAAATAGAGTAATCTTTTCTTATCTCAATCTCCATGCCCTGAGAGAAGATTAAGATTATGATGAAAATATTTTAGTTTATGGTGAGAAGCTGTATAAATGTCTTACATCCTCTTTCCCTAACACACCCTGTCTGCATATTTTGTTTTGTTCATGGCAGATCTCAAGAACTGGAAAGATAATATCAGACAAGGAATACCGGTTAAATGCCATGAAGAAGGATCATCAGAAGTATATACGGGAATGCTTGGCTCAGGCTATTTTCCACAAAGCTCTTGATATGGAAGTATGGTTATATTATGGCTACTCTTCACAAAAGTAATATTCATATATTCAGGATATTTGAGAATGTCTACAGGTGTAAATGTCTTTAAGCTCAGTGGAAGATCTATGCCACTGATGAGTAACCATCAGTACATTATAATTATCCATTTTCACACATTTGACAGTTACTGTGGGTTAGTAATGATCAATAGAATACATTAGAGCAGAAGAATTGTCCAATAATAAGCGATGAAGCTGGCAAGGCAGGAACCAGCAATTGCTAAGCTAGAGAGAACCATTATGAAAATAAACCCCAGGTGCCAAGACTATCAAGAGACTAGCCAAGAGCCCATTAGCTTAGAAAGATGGTGCTGATGATGAAGCTGAGCTTTTAAACATTGCAGCATAGATATTTCAAGCTTTGAATTCCTTTTTCTGGGCAATCAACTGTTGGTTTTAGAGGCTTCATTTTTATCTGCAATAATGTTTCTAATCTAGAGAGCCTTCTGCAAATTAAGTCATCAATTGAGTAAGGGATTGAGCACCTAGAAAATGATGATCAGTTGGTGTGAAGCCTAATGTTAACTCCCAGAACATTTTTAAGGCTTAATTTTTGTATCAAAAGTAATATGTATTTATTTGCTACCCTAAGGAATGTCTGTGCTTGTAACATGTGTTAGTGACTATGATTATGGAGAATTAGTAATTTCATTTATTCTAGATTTATTAATTTATCAATTCTAAGAGAATGCCTTATGTGAGAGATATATTAGTTGTCAAAAGATAATCCATAGTTTTAGAAATAAATAATGATAACAAAGTTAAGGGAAGAAGCAAAGAGACTTGTAATTGGCCAGATTACTGGCCAGACCTCAGAATGTAAGTAGCCCTTGGTCACTAGATTCCACACAGTCATCTCCTGTGGAAAGACAGCAGGAGGTCATGTCCCATCTGTGTACTCAAGAACTGGTCACAGCCCATCAGCAAAATGCTTACTTCTACCCATGTGAACACCAAAGGTCATGGGAAACTGGCAAGAACAAACAAAAGCATAGATATAAAGAGTGAGGAAAGACAGGAAGGAGCAGACGCTATTTCATTCACACAAAAAGTGGAAACGTGGCTGGAGGTAGGCCTCATCCTAGCTTGGTTCAACCTATCAGTTGTTTCTACCTTCTGACTTCCTTTGTGATGCTACTGTTTCCCATGGTTTCCTCTATAACTCGGAGATATGGTTCAGGAGTAGCCCCCTAAAGAAATTTAGGTCTCTGAGCCTTGCTAAGAAGTCAGCATTCATTTTATACAGGTTCTTGGCAAAGTTGAGAAACCTATGTGCTACTTCCCTAACGAACAGAAAACAGCAGTTGAGACCAACTGTCTTAGAATCTTAGAATTCTAAGGAGGTACCACCTAAGTCAGATGTGCATACACACACACACTTGCACAAACATGGAGATTATTAAGTAGTGACTATCACTTTTTCCCCTGGCTGATCAAACATCTGGTAACATCAGAAACACCTCGCACAGCCAAAATCTTTGAAAAAATCTTATGGATCATCTAAGCCAGTGGATCTCAACAGTTTGCCAATGGAATTTCCAAAGAGAGTTTTGTTGTGGACTTCCATTACCCTTCCTCCTATACATAAACAGACCGAAATCTGCATTGGAAGAGAAACGATGCCTGCGGAAACCTATGACTTGGTTTGGAGTATAATAGAAATTTTTATATTCCCTTCTCCCCATTTCCTTTCCTGAGATAAACAAGAAAATTGGATAGATAACGATAGTGAGGAAAGCTTTTTTGGGGGTAAAAAGAACAATCGAAATAGGGCCTGTGAAAAGGAAACCCTGGGGCTTGGCCCTTTGGGATGGATATAAGAGATCTCATGTGGCTTTTAATGATGAATCTTCTTTCTGCATTTTCTGCTGGGATGAGAAATAGTGGTTCATCTTAGTCTGGGTCCTTCAGATACAGTAGATTACATCTCCATTAAAGCCCAGCCAGGGTAGAAATTTAATCCATAATATCTGGAGGGCACCAAGTTGGGGAAATTTGCTAAATAAACTGTAGTATACATTTTGAGTGTAAATTAAAATTGTTCCAACATGACAAGCGGTAGCGGAAATGTATGGCTACTACGTAAAGATTTTGATCATCTCATATATCCGAGAATTTTACTTATTTATGAACTACATTGGGCATACACAGTACCTTTTTGTTGTTTTTCCATGACGATCATTTATTTATTTTAAAAATCCTCAACAAATGCCCTGCTGGTGACATTTTCCTTTCTGTGGTTGGAAAAAAAAAAGGATGTTACTATGCTGCACCAGTTCACTTTCTCTCCCTCATTTGTTCAAAAATATACCATCTATACTTGGGCCCATTGATACATCACCATACCATCTATACTTGGGCCCATTGATACATCACACACAATATATGACAACACTTGCCTATTCAGTCTTACAGATAGATCTTTCTTCTTTCATGAGGCAGTTAAATACAAATGGAACACTTCTGTGGGACTTCCATTTTGTGCCTGGGGAATTTCATGGGATTATAGTGCATAAGCTAAAAAGAATCTAAAATAAATAAAATAAATGGAAGACCTTTTCAAACCTAATTACTTTGTAGGTATAAAGCAAAGAGGAAAACATTCCATGTTTAGGAAAGTCCACGTGCCAGTATATTCATATTGCCAGCTTGTGATTTCACATTCAAGATTTAGATTTGATAGGCTAATTAAGGACATATCTTCACAATGCAATAAACTGTACAAATATAGTTGAGTAGGTCTACTTAACATCACTGCATTTTTCTCCTGAGCGGTACAGCTTGTTTGGGTCTCATTGTATCTTCTGTTAGTGTTCCTGGGAGCATGTAAAAGGAGAGCACCCATGTTTTATTTTCAGTTTATTATTCTTCAAAGTGCCATGCAGAGAACACAGCAAGCCCTAAATTAGTTAGAAATGGGAGAAGGAGCCAGCAGGGACAAGTGTCCTATCATAGGTAGCAAAATGTCCTGGGACAAAATTTAGCTCTAATATTTAGATCTCTTGAGAGACAAGAGTCTAAGCAAGATCTTATTCAGGATTAAGGTAAAATGTTTTAGAAACATTAAAGTTCAGGCACTTCAATAGTAAGCACTGTGTCAGAATTCTGACAAGGGCAAAAATCTAGATGACTCCCTTGATGGCACCAAAACATGATGAAGCTTAATGTCTTTGTTGCCATCTAGTGGTAATCTGGAATTTTGCTATCTAGATATGGCCACATGAGTTTCAGACACTGAATTCAACATTGCACACCAAAGATGGTAGACAGTAATTCTTTCAAAACATCAGCACTAGACACTGAATCTTTAGGATTGATCTCCCCACATTTTTTAATCTTTGCCTTGCCCCTGCTTCTTTCTGAAGAGAGTATTCCGAGGGGCCATGACAGAGAGAAAGTGCATATTACAATAATCCACCCTTAGCAATTCATCTGAATGCAGCTAAGTGTAATTTTTTATATTCCTATTTTATATACAAGCATTACGTGCTGAATGTAGGAGATACCAACATTTTTGTTAAAGGATTCGGTCCTAGGAGCACTTGGACATATATTAAAATAATGGCTTTCAAATTGCAGGGTTCTTTTTTCCAAAGATTTTTGAGGATCTCAGTCTTTGGTTATAACATTTACAGAAGTGTTACTAGATCCAAATCTCCAAGGGATTTACACATACGAGCTTATTGCCTATTACCTTAAAAAACTGTGAAAATGGTTGTCTCTCAGGATTAAGTTAGACATGACACTCCACACTCAGCACCTGCTGTCTACATTTAAAAGACATTTTCACAAGAGCTCATTAGGTATAGAGTGTCTTGTTATTCTTCCTTGCAAAGGAAACCAGGCATGCTCCATTTTTAACAGCAACTTTAAGAAGCATCGGGAAAATGCTTGTACCTATCCAGATAAATTTTCAATACTTAAGCAGCCCTCTCCACTTAATGTGGTATAGGTGACGGCTTTATTCACCGCATTAATCTTAGAAAATTACTTCATTATTGAGTGGTGAAACTGCAGTGCTTAATTATGTGGCATGTGACCACAATGCATTTCACAGTGGTAAAATGTTTGGTCTGCTTGGGAATTGCCGCTTCTTTTTGCTTCCATTCTGCTGAAAGCCTCCCTAATTATTGTGATGCATTGCAGAAAATGGGACAAAATGTTGTCGAAACCCCATTTTGCCTGTGTGTGCCCGCCGAGAACAGCTAAAGCATTATATAATTTCCCCATCCCATCTCTTCTGCTGCACTCTCAAGTACTGCTTGTATTCTTAAAAGGGATATAAATCATCATTATCAACTAGGCTGGGAGTGTTGCTTGCTGGGAGATGTGGTTTGAAAAGACAGAAGGAAGAAGGAAGAAAAAGAAAGGGAACTGGTTGCCTGGATGTAGGAGGATTTGGAAGCCTATGCAGCACTTATTGGGCATGTTTTAATATTTGAATATTTGAATAAAGCTCATGTCTTTAATCACTTGGCATTCATTCACTTGCTCTTTGATATGAGCCTTGCTTAAACAATCAATTTGACCAACCATTTGGGTGGAGGACTTTGTTCTCTATATTTTAAAAAGTCATGCTCTTCAGTCACCCCCCACCCCCGCAAAGGTTACCAGAGCAATATAAAAATCAGAAACCATCTCAATCCTACTATCCAAAAAAGATTATGAAGAAGAAAGGGGGAAAAAAGCATCACTTAAAAGATTGAGAGGAAAGAGAAAAGGTGTAACAACAAGGAGTAGTGTTATGTGCTCTAGGAATGATGTAACCGTGTGGTAAATCTGAAATGTGATTTTCCTCTTTACTTTTTATTCTTTAAAAATGGACCAATTAGCGACATCACCAGGGTGACGTAAAAAGGAAAGTTGAGAGTTCGGCAAGGCGAGAGCGGATCCAGAAAACCAAGGTAATGGATTTCTCTCTTTTTGAAAAGAATCTCCAATTTCTTCTAGGACTAGAATCGATTGCCATTGATAAGGCTTAGAGATACATGTTGGCTTAGGGTTATCAATTCTGGATTGCAAAAAGTCTCAGTGATTGCTAGACAGCATCAAAAGAGAGTTTACTGAATTCCCTGGCTGCCTTCTAATGGTTGTCCTGTTTTTTGTTTTTGTTTTTTTTGCAGCATAAATTCAGTGGCCCTACGCTTGATCTGATTTTATGAGCTGTTCCTTTCTCTTATATCTAGCAGTTACATTACTTTTTATTCTATTCATGATGGGTATTGGGTTACATTCTGTTACTGTTTCCTAATCATTTTCTCAGGGCGAGGCATAATTACATTTATATAAATAAAAAAGGCCAAATTTGAGAGCCCGTTTGATACAGTGGTTGAAGACACCAGGCTAGAAACCAGGAGATAGTGAGTTTAGGCATCCCTCTGACATGAAGTCAGCTGGGTGACTTTGGGCTGATCACGCTTTCTCAGCCCTAGGAAGAGAGCAGTGGCAAACCACAAATATGTCCAAGGAAACTGCAAAGACTGTAGTCCCCAGGAGTTATACGTGACTCAAAGGCAGCAAAAAAATAAAACAAAAGCAAATTTTTTAATATTTGAAGGTTCAGGTGTGGACCTTTATTCTCTAGGGATTTGAAGATATTGGTTGCATTCCTGGGTAGAAGTCTTATTTACAAAAAGATTTGCCAGAGAGCATTATTTCCTAACAATATTGTTTACTCAGGTAACTCAAGCCATGTTCAGGCATCACTGTTCCATGTTCAAACTGATGCTGGATGAGGAGTAAGCAGGCCCTCCCTTTCCTTAGCCGTATGCTTACAGTACAGCTCTCTGCAGCAGCCACATTCACTTTACAGAGAATTGCCTTTACATGAATCTACAGGAGTCTGACTGTCTCACATGGGCTCGCTTTTATATTGAATTAAGTCCTTGCTAGAGGCTACAGGCCTTATAAATGGAAACCATCTCTGCACATGTGTCACAAGCATGACATTATAATAGAATGTGTGGATGACCTTGGGCAACGAGGGGAAGAGATGCTGCCTAGGAAACCATCCAACAAGAGAGGTAGGAGCCTTCAGTGGCTTAATGGTCTGAGAAAGAAAATTAGGGAGGACCAGAGGTGGTATTCAGCAGGTTCTGACCAGTTCTGGAGAATCGGTAGCGCCCCACCCCCATCTGTTCTCTGCCTCCCGAGTCCCAGCTGATCAGCTGGGTCTTCTTTTGTTGCTCTGCACAGGAGAACGGAGCTGGAAAGCAGATTGGGGAGGGATTGGGGATTTTGCAGTATCCTTCCCCTGCCATGCCCACCAAGCCATGCCCACCAAGCCACACCTACAGAACCGGTAGTAAAAATTTTTGAATCCCACCACTGGGGAGGATCCACCCTAATGGATCAAGCAGTTAAAAGTGGTGGTGGGTAATTTTGTACTTTCAGACTTGCAAGATTCTTTTAAGGTAGCCTTACAATAAAGCAGAATTAGTTCACCTAGTCATATTTCTGGATGGATTCACCTGGGACAGCTGAAAGACATGGAGAAGGAGGCTGTTCACTGTTACTCATAAGATAACTTGTACATGTATATGTCATGTCAGTGTTGTCATTTCTCCTTCTTTTAGGTGGAACGAGCGAGAAAGGCAGCAGATGGTTCCCATCACTTGCTTTCCCCACATCCACCCACTGTCCCAAGAAATCGCTTTGGGCGGCGCAAATTGGGTGAGAGAGGACCATCAAGTCACACGGTGAGTCTCTAGTGAGACTCTATAGGATGAATGATAGTCCTGATTCAATGTTGTTCATACAGTTTCCTGGAGCTGGAGCCCTGGTTTAATGGAATGAAAGTGACATCATGCAAATTTGCAATACCGAAAGACTTATCTTAAAATGTTTATTCCCTTTTAATCCAAAGGATGTAAAGGTGCCAAACATGGCTGTGGTTATAAAGGACATTTGCAGATCTCCACCAAATGTATATAGATGGAGAGATAGGATTTTAGTGAATTATGGCCAATCAGGAAGGCTATGGATCCTGTGAGGAAATGTTTGAACAGTGAAAATAAGATATTCACAAATAGTCCTTGGCTATCTGGAAACTAAACAAGTCTGCCATCCATTTTATCCATGAGAATTTCTCTGAATCTCTCTTCTAGTTTGAAATGATTTTGTAAAACAAATTATCTTTCATTAGACTGAATTGGTAAAAAGAAAAATGCTGGAGATTTTGTGGCTCAATTGCACCATACATACTTATTTTATCCTCGTAACAATTTAGCAAGCTATGACTTGTTTAAAGACTGAAGTATCTATAATCACATGAATATGGAGATTTGGCTACTCAAAGTCAATCTTATAGGTTTTACTTATCTTTATTTATTTATTTAATTTGTTAAGGCGTCCCAATTCTAGAATGGTACTGGTTGGCTTAAAATATACGTGAGGTATTCTTTTTTATTGAAAAATCACAATTAAAACAACATGCCTAGACCAACTGCCTAGACCAAAAGGAGCAATTCCAATATATAAAAAAGATTTTATATCATGCGAGTTCACTTACAATTCATGTAACTTTTTCATGTCTGTTAAGTGTGTGTGCCAAATAGATCTTTTAGGCTATGTAGGAACTCTGTTGTGGAATGGCAATACAAAAAGCCCTGCTTGATTTCATAAGAGTCTCTTGTACGAATATTATCTTCTACATAATCTGACTATTTTAAATATATCTCTATTAGAATATAGCTGTTTTTTTAATACAGGTAGTCCTTGACTTACAACCATAATGGAGCTGGCTATTACAGTCACAAGTGGTGATGGCTGTTAAGTGAGACGGTCTAGCTTATTGGACTCCTCCCCCCCCTCCCTGCCCATCTACAAACTCCACAAAGAAATGATGTCTCCTTAAAAAACAAAGAATCCCCTACAGGCTTGTGAGAATAATATTTGCTTACAGAATAGCATGAGGTTGCCACAAGGCAGGCAACTTCTATAGCAGTGGTTGCCAACTGGTGGGCCGAGGCCCACTGGTGGGTCTTGAGAAAATTTTGGTGGGCCGCAGAGAAATGTCCCCTCAAAGCACACCCCGCCCCAAGGAATTAATCCAGGCTGAACGGGAGCACAAGGCTGTGCCACCCACATGACCCGCCAACCCGCTGGCCTTTACCCTTCAGCTGAATGCAAACCTGCAAAAAGCAGCACAGCCCTCGCCGGCCAGGACAAGGTAGTGGTTCTATTGCAGCAAGAGGGGGGGCTGGTGGCACAGGTGGGCTGAAGCGGCGATGAAAATAGGCAGAAAGTGCAGGAGCGCCGTGCTACTTGCATTTGTGTGGCACTCCCACACCTTCCAGCTCGCGTCTCCTGGCCTGGTCTCTTCCTTGATGCCCGTGGGCTGTAGGTACGGCCTGGGGCAGGAAAAGTACCAGCTGGTGGTGGTGGGAGGGAGCTGAGTGGGCAAGTCTGTGCTCACCATCCAGTTCAGAGGTCCGGAATGGGGTGGCATCTGCATCAGTTTTCTCATCCCTCTCGGCGCTCTGCTCTGCTGCCTCCCCCATTGCTGTCTGGGGAAAGTACAGGAAAAGCGAGCAGAAACATAACTCTTACTGAGGCGAAAGAGCTGAGCTTGAGGAAGACATAGGCAAGAGAAGACGGAAGCTGCTGCCTTTGAAAAGCACCGCTTTCTGTTGCCTGTGCCTTCCCCAATCTCCACTCTTTTGCCCCAGCGAGAGCTATGTTTCTGCTCGCTTTTCCTGTGCTTTCCCCAGGCAGTGAGGGCTGGGCTGTGGGGGGGGGGGACAGTAGAGATGTCAGGGCTGGTCTCCCCCCTCAGCAAGCCAGGCCTGGAGGAACGCAAAGAATTGCGGGTGAGTGCCGGAGAAATGCGTTTTGGAAATGCCAATACACGTTTCCAGTGCGCTCTCCTTTGTCCCAAAGTAGAATTGAGTAGGGGGAAGGGAGCAGGAGGGAAGAGTAGGAGGGAAGGGGAAGCCTGGCTGGCTTTCCTTTGGCATGGGGTAGGGTGTGGGGGGGGAGACCAAATGCCCAGACCAAAAGAGTGCCGAGGAAGACAGGCTCCTAATAACCAGCCTGTTTGTGCAGGCAAGAGCTTGAGCTTTTCTGGGCTCAACATCCCCACTTCTGCCTCCACACAGGGAAGGAAGCGGTGCTCTGCTTGGAAGCGGTGGGAAAAACCTGAAGTTTAGCCTTGGGGGATCCTCTTCTTGTGTGAAGGCCAAAGGGTGGGGGGGGGGTGCTGCCTGGTTATTAGGAGCCTGTCTTCCTTGACGCTTCCAGCCCGGCCCCTCCCCCAACTCCAGGCAGCTACACCTGGTAAAGGAGGGAGAGGTTTCGTCTGACTTGGGAGAAATATGAAATGACAGGAGACCAGATTGGGGGGTGGGGGGATTCTGCTTTTCTTCCATTTGAGGGGGAGCCGGTTCCTCCCTGTTCAGATCTTCCCAGCCTCCAGGCACCATGTGGCCTTTTTTGAATCCCAGCAGTATTAAAACCTCCCTCTTTCCCCCCAAAAGATGAGGGAGGCCTCTCCTTTCCATTCGCTCTGCCCACAGTTATGATTAAGCATTTATGATTTTGTTATAATTAAATAAGCATTTTTATATTTTTAATATATATATGTATATATATGTATGTATTAATTTTTTAATATTAAATTCATATTTAATATAAAATTTTTTATATTAAATATATTATTTTTTAAAAAGAATCGTATTAGTGATCCTCAGGATTTAGAAGTATGAGTTTGGTGGTCCCTGAGGTTCAAAAGGTTGGCAACCCCTGCTCTATAGGATTGCTGAGTCTTGCATTGCATCAACTGAACAGGTCTCTGCAAAAGACAGAAAGGGAAATTGGGCGCTGCTGGGTCCTGGGGCTGGCTGAGGAGCAGGCCAAGTCCTGCAAATCCCTGGATGGCTGAATGGGAAGAAGGCCTTGGCCTACAAGCTCTCAAAGCCCCACTTGCACTGGTAGTGTCTGCTTCACAGCTTTAGGTTCCTTGGGTGGCTGATACGAAGCAGGCCTTGGCTTATAGGTTCTCACAATCCCACATGTGCCAGTAGCATTTACTACCCAGCTTTAGATTGCCTTGGGAATGGGGCTGATTGGGAAGCAGGCCTTGGCCTACAAGTTCTTACTGCTCCATAGACATCAGTAGCGTCTGCTGCCCAGCTTTACGCTGCCTTGGGTGGCTGAGTAGGAAGAAGGTCTCAGAGGCCTGTGTGCATCAGTAGTGTTGGCTGCCTGGCTTTAGGCTCCCTTGGGAGGTTGAATGGTAAGGTGACCAACCGTTCTCCTTTAGGGAGGACAGTCCTCCTTTTGGAAGTTTTGTCCACCCTCAAAATGTGTCCTCCTACATGACCTCCTTTTTGATATTTGAAGACTAATCTGTAAATCTCCGTATTTGATTGATGCCAAACCGATCCGTTGTGTGTGATGTGGCGTATTTGTATTTGACATGACGATTGGTCAAGGCTCGGTACAGTGCGGCAAGACGCAATTATGAGACGCATGCGCTCCACACAGGAGAATTGTTTTGAGAGTGTGTGCCGCGCGCAAGAGTACGCCGCACGCAAGAGTGGGCCGCGCGCACTCAAAGTGGCTTTGGTTTTTTTTCTTCAGTTTATTTGTGTCCTCCTTTTCATTGTAAAAAAGTTGGTCACCTTATGAATGGCTGGGTGGGAAGCTGGCTGATGCCTGTAAGGATCAAACAGGATGGGGTGGGGGAGACAGATTGGGAGGGGGAGAACTGCAGCATCCCTGCAATTGTTCTAAGAGTGAACAACTTCAGGAGCTCTGCAGTGGCCATAACTTTCAAACTGAGTCATAAGTAGCTCTCAGGGGCATCTGTCATAACTTTGAACAGTCACTAAGCAACTGATCATAAGTCAAGGATTAATGTATCTATTTGAATGAAATACGTAATTGGCTTATTTCACTTAATTCATCTTCTGTACAATTTAGTTCAAGGAATATAAATTGATATAGATGTAAAACCTGTATCTATCCATCCCTCCTTTTTGAAACCAAAAGTCCAAAGGTAGACAGATTAGAATTTCAGAAATGTGTAATAAGCTACATGTTTTTAAGTGAGGGATAGGCAGTGTAGTGCCCTCTCAGGGTTTTTGATTACAAATCCAGTGTTTTTAGATATTTGACTTACAGAGTATTGGTTTACTCAACCTAACTTAACTATTTACCTCCGTGTCTTTTTATGGTTCAGATTTCTTATCCTCGACCAAGCACTGCTCCAGGAAACATACAACAGCCACTCCGACTTCAGCCCCTCTATGGAAATGTCGTGACTGAAGGTTCATCAAAGACTGGTTTGAGCTCCAGACCAAAGTTTCTCACCGTTGACAAAGAATATCATTTTACTTGTGAGGTTAGCATTTGCTACTTTACACATGCAGTATTATTGGAAGAATGAGGATATACAGTCATTTTGTGCAATCATGCACAAGGAATCATCTCGCACAATTTAAAAAAATAGAATAGGAAATAATGCAGAATGAATTATGTTGGTAACAACAAAGGGTAATTATTTCTTACTATTGATTGCAAATGGTGGTGAGTCATCTAAGGAGATCCAGTGGAGGAGTTCCATGCTGGAGGTGGCTGCTGGTTTGATGGCAGATTCCACCTCCCCACTTTGTCTTGCTGTTCTCATTTTCTTTTTCATTGTTTACTTTGTTCTATTATTTTACTTCTGTTTTCTTTATACTTTTTCATTTCTTCCTTTTTATTGTTGTAAGCTGCCTAGAGTGGTGGCACAGTGGTTAGAATGCAATACTGCAGGCTACATCTGCCGACTGCTGACTGCTAGCGGTTCAGCACTTCGTGTCTCACCGGTTCAAAGGTTGACTCAGCCTTCCATCCTTCCGAGATCGGTAAAATGAGAACCCAGATTGTTGGGGGCAATATGCTGACTCTGTAAATCGCTTAGAGAGGGCTATAAAGTACTGTGAAGTGATATATAAGTCTAAGTGCTATTGCTATTACTATGGCGAGATAGGCTGAAATAAATTTAACAGATAAATAATGAATAAATAAGAAGAGAAGCAGCTTCTGAAAATAGAGGAAGGGGGAAAATATGCAAAGGAGTTCACTGCTGAAAAACTTGGATGTCTCTGAAGATTAGATGTTGCTTGGAAGCTACTTGAATATTCACTATTTCTGTAATGGAACTTATTCCTCTTTCCTTTCTTTCACTGTTTTTTAAAAAGATTTTTTAAATCTTGCCTTTAATATTTTCACAAATATTTCAAGGCAGCAAACATAACTAATACTCCTTCCTCCTCCTATTTTCCCCACAACAACAATCCTGTAAGGTGGGGGTTGGGCTGAGAGAAAGGGACTCACTTAAGGTGACCCATAGAGCTTATGACATGTATATAGAGACAAATATAATATAGAAGGGAAAAAACACCTTTTTGAAACTCTACAAAGGTCTAATTCCCAGCATTACTGCTCTTCTGAATTAAGTTGGAGTCAGCTTATAGTTTCTGAAAGCTTGTGAGATCAAAATACTTCCTAAAATATTGTTTTATGCAGCAGTTGTAGTTATAATGACGGAAACCAAATGTCTAGATGTGGTTTGGAGATAGTTCTCTTGGTTTAATCATATTAACTGAACCTGGGAGCCAGTCACGAGGACATAGTGATAAGAGACAAAGCAGTCACAAAAAGGAGAAACCTAGGCCACAGGAGCTTTGGTGGGGCACTAGTGGTAAAAATAAGGACATCTAAATGGCATGAATGGGTCTACCTGTACACATTGGCTACAGCCTAGAGTTGACCTCTGCCTTTATTAACAATATGTAATAATATTTCATTAATAATTAAACAATTGTTTAACATATTAAGACTACTAATAAATCATTCATACGCATACACACTGCAAAGTGACAAATGCTCAGCTAGTGCAAAGTGGGGTATTTGGTTAGAGTGGGGAGAACCCACCCTATAATAGCAACCACTTTATCCATAAATTGTATTGGACTCAGCTTGTAAATACATCATAAATATGGAAATAGTCTTCAATAGTCTTCAAATTCAATTTAAACTTACCCCATATGGTTTCCCGCTTTAGAAATCATAAATTTCTTGTAGTCCCATACAATATGGGTAAAACTAGGTGTATAGAACCAATGGCAGGCAAAAGTTGGTTTGATGCTAGCACTTCATATGTACCTCATTTTTAGCTTTTGCAGAATGCATTTTAATGATAAAAAAACAGTATCTCTACATATAAGTAGTAATTTGGTTTAGATCCTCAACCAGCAATTTGCGAGAAGTCAGACCATTAGAAAAAATGGTCTTTATTGTGTCTATAAATCCCACCCACAGTGCAGGAATGTAAAAGCTGAGGAAAAACAAACAACCTTTTCAGAAGCTGAAGCTCTGCAGATAAACCCAAGATGCAGGAATAAAAGCTGAGTGGAGTCTTGTACTTTCAGAAGTCAGTCAGGGAACCAGAAGCAGCATATGTGCAGGAATCAAGTCCAAAGTTAAAAAGTGATTTGCCACAAGAAATTTGACTCCCAAGCATGTGTTGCTGTAGCCCTGATTCAAGCATGGTGATGTACTTTTTGTAGAAGAAAAGTTATGGATCTTTTTCAGCTCAGACTCAAGGTCAAGTGAGAGCTTACCTGACTGCTTCAGAACTGCAGGCTCCTCTTCCAACAGGTCCTGCTTTCAGGGGTGGGATGCAAATATTTTTACTACCGGTTCTGTGGGTGCGGCTAGGTGGGAATGGCTAGGTGGGCGTGGGCATGTGACTGGGTGGGCGTGGCTTCTTCTTTTTTTATTCTTCCGATGATCAGCTGTTCCGACGATCAGCTGTGCTGGGATCCCCCTCGCTGTCTTACTGCTTCTCCTAGGAGGCTTCCCTAAGGCCCAGGAGGCAAAAAGGGGTGCATGGGGATGTGCTGTGCGGCCCCCCTGCACTCCATTTTTTGCCTTCTGGGAGCAAAAACAGGCTCCCAGGAAGCTTCCCTGAGCCCTAGGAGGCAAAAAATGGAGCGTGGGGGGGCGCTGCACAGCAAACACCCCCCATGTACCCCTTTTGGCCTTCTGGGCCTTAGGGAACCGGTAGCTGTTTTTTTTACTATCGATTCGGCCAAACTAGCATTTTTTACTATTGGTTCGCCTGAACCAGGCTAAACCGGTGGAATACCACCACTGCCTGCTCTTTTTGAGCAGATACTTGAGACCCCTCTGGCTCCTGAGTTGCCAGCTCAGAATATGTCAAACCTATTCCTCTAGTTCAGAATCTGACTCATAGGACACTGTAACAATTGATCCTGCTGCACTTATGAGCTGCCTTTTTAACACTTGTCACTTATGTCAATTGTTTATTACAAAATGGGGTCAATCTATAATCTATTTTATGCATGGAGCCAGGAATGGGAAATCTCTTTTAACTGGGAATCCAGGCTGAAATTTATGAAATTTAGATTAACCCCCCCCCCCCCCCCCCAGAAACAAAATGTTTATGCATGGAACTACTAAATGGAAAATTTTAGCTTTCAACTGTTCTGTGAGTCTAACTGTTAATTAATGCTAGTATTTGTTCAATTTTTTCAGGGGGACAAAGGGATGTTAAGGCCTGTGCATTCAATGGATTATTCAGTTGAAGTATCCCCATACAGACTTCCCATTATTAACAATTATATGATACCTATTCCACAACCACCCAGAAGTGACAAAACTATCATCCCCATGAAACCTGGGGGAAGAGGTCGACGGTTTCGCCCTACAACTTCATCTAATGGCCTGGAACAGTTGCTAATGAAGGTGATTCTTCTTCTTCTTCCCACTATTGCGTTCTTTTTCTTGTATAAGTAATTTGGTAATGTCCTCTACTAAGCATATAAAGATGTGCTGAAATACTTCCTTTTTTTTTTGGCTAAAGAAATGCCTCTCTCCATCTTTTTAAAATGAACATAGAGATACATCTTTTAAAATAAAGAAAGTTGGCCTAAATACGTTTTCCTTTCCTGTAAAACCTTGGTTTTGTTTCTAGTGTCAGTCTTTTGAATAGATAAATGTAACACTTCGAACCATTTTTCTGAATCTAATCGTATTATTATTTCATCCAAGTTTTCCTTAAAGTATTTTTCAAAATGTAGTGTACCTTTTCCCAACCTGCAGAAGTGCAAAAATGTGAATTAGCTGTGAATTCTAGTAATTGCCATCAGAAAGCTTTTGCTCTATTTTAGGGAAGGCACCTGGGTAATGAAAGTGGATATAGATTGATACTATAAAGCAGATAATTTGGAAAAGAAAGATAAGCCCTTTTGGAGAAGATTGAGTATTCCTGTTAGTTAGAGAAGCTGCATTTAAATATACAAGTAATACTTTTAGAAAAAAGGTTATATATGATGTCCATGATCTTAAAGAACTTAAAATTACATAGGTTGAAGACATATTGTTTATTTGTAGCTAAAGAGGCCTAAATATAGAATCTTGAATAAAGTTTAAATTTACGAACATCAGGCTGTTGAATTTGCAAGAACTCAAATATTACTCATAAATCTAATCATTTCCACTATGTTGCATTGCCTTTTCCCCAGGTATGTAATGTCCTATGTCAGGAAACATATCTACTCCTTGGTCTCCATGAGCAAAAGTTAATGTTATATAAATCTGAAATTAAGGATGATGACTTTAAACAAAACACAAGTTACCGAGTAACTGAAATCCCATGAATTTCAGTTAATCATGTAAAAATAGTCTCTCTGTAAGATAAACAATTTCACTCCATTTGTTTCAAATTACTGGTGACTATGTCTGATTATGATTTAAGTATCTCAGATCCACCTTGCAGAAGTGGGCAGCACTCAAAATATTTTGAAGAAATACTTTCCCAGGGTAACGTCTTTGAAGATTTGCGCAATCCTACAGCAGTGATTGAGGACAAACCTGGATGGGGTAGAGAGGCGTATGAGATTCCTAAAGAAGGCCAAGGTTATGACACATACCTGAACGCCTGCCCCCATTGTCCCCCCCAATGAATGTATCAGAAGCTAATCATAAATAAATTTTTAATCTCCTGATATCTTTAGATTGTAGTCTTGTCTTTTTCAAGACTGGAGGTCATGGTATATTTTAAATTCATGATGCAAAGTTCATCAGTTGGGGGATTTGATATCCCCTCCCAGCCTCAGAAAACAGTCTCTGAGAATAGTCTCTTCAAAAGCTTTGCCACCTTGATACTGGAATTTCAATCTTGGGAAAATAAAAGGAAAAACTCATGGGGCATTTCCTGCATATACTGAGATGTAATAATTCATATACCTCCTGATGTTCAGGAGAGTTTTTAATTCTGGGCACTTTGAAATTAAAACTCTTGGCAATGAACAGCAATACTACTTTGCTAGACTATAGTATTGCTGTTCATTGGGAAATTGTATCAGAGAACATAGAATTTGTCAAATCGTCTATTACAAAGTGGAGAGAGGGGGAGAGATTATTTAGATCCTTTTCATAGACATCAAGATATTTCCATGCCAGTTCTTTTTCACAGTTAGAGAATCCATTATTAAAAAGGGGAGAAGTATACTGTATTATGCCCTTTGGGCTTGTAGACCTTATAGATTATTCTGGGCTCTGGAACTGGCCTAAATGTTCTTTTCAGTTAAATAAAATACACAAAATAAAATAGAAGGTCTATTGTGGTAAATATATAGCTGAAATGCCATGCTTCACTTTTTTCATTTTTTTCCAGGCTTTTCCAGCAGGTTTTTAGATTTATCAGAGGCTCCAGTGGGGGAGCTATCCACAGTGAGATTCTGAGTTACTATATTAATTTAAATAAATGTATCTAATCCTATTTTAAAACGATTAGTATGGATGCCATCACCATATCATCCAGCTTTAAATGTGGTTATTTATGTTTGGTATGAGAATGACTTCGATTCCTGTCTATTCACCCTTCAGAATCATAGGATTATTTTTAATTTCAGTATTCTCTACATCCTCACAGCATACCTAATTTTACGAATTCTTATTATGTTTCTTCTTACGTTTCTTCTCACTAAATAGTTCCAGTTGTTCCAATGTTATTTTTTTCACGCTGATACAATTTTTTAGTTCCACAACATTCTGTTGGAGTTGCAGTAACCAGTATTGTATTTGAAAGTGGTCACTTAGAAGTTTTATGGAAAGGCATTATGATATTAAAGCCATTGTGAAATTAGGGTTTATTGATGAACCTCTTCTTATTGATCCATACACTAAAATTTACCTTTTTCTCCCTTTGTGCTATACCAGCACAAAAGTGAGAGCCATTAGTTGAGTTAGGTTAATTCTAATCCTAGTTTAATCACTGGCATCTCCGGATAACCTCAAATAATTATCTGAAATTCTAAAGAACCCATGTCAATCATTCAGTAATGCTAGACCAGCTTGAAGAGGCAGTCAAAAGCAGCTTTGTATATTCCTAAAGCAGCTCTTCTTCATACATCAAACTTTTATACAGCCAGATTGAGCTCAGATTTTAGTTCAGCATGTTTCTGTTGGTGGGCCTTTTTGGGTGATATGTGCAAGAAATACTTGGGATGGTATAAATCCCTTTGAATTTTAGCACTTAGTACTGAAGTGATTTTGAAATAGAATGAGATATCATGGGAACAAAGGTCTAAAACACATATTTCAGCATGCTTCTTTGCCTTTTTATGCAGGACTCTGGAAAATTCTACAAGCCTCAAGTACAAAGCAATGCATATGTTACCATGGTCTATTTGGGAAAAACCGTGCACCTTTCATATGATCTTTTAGATTATCGAGAGGAAATAAAAATTTACCAACAGCATTGTGGAGGAGAAAACTTATGTGTGTATAGAGGCAAACTGCTGGAGGGAGGTGAGCCTGAAAAAACAACAACCCAAGAATTCATCTGAATTCCAGCAACTTCTTATTTTTATATGGATAAACTGTTAGAAGTGGTAGCAGAATTATTTCTGCAAAGCTTAGTCTGCTTATGTGTGTCCAGGGACTTATGTTCCAGCTGCCTCCAACCAAGTCTAGATTTACTGTTTCATGATTGAAAATGAGGCTGCAATTACTTTTGCAAATTGTGGAAGGACGGATGTACAGGGGTGATTTAACAAAATGCAGTGGGTTAGATTAATTTTTGGATGGAGATGCATGGTTAATAAAATGCTTGCAGGGGTAAAATGAATACCAAATTATTTACGTACAAGAAGCTATAATATATCAGTGTGAACTGTTTATCGCTCCAGAAGGGAAATGAATGCAGGCTTGAGGTTTGATTCTGAATGTGAATCAATGGTGATGATGTTGACTTAAGCAAAGCTGTTCCAGGTATAATTGCCGGCAGAAATGAGGGAAGAATAGCATGCTGGGTGGAATTAATCTCAGGCCATGGTCCTCGGCTATTGCTGGGGAATGATAACTTTTCTATCATTAGTTACCATTTATTTAATTTGTCATAGTGCTAGGCACTATGTGGAAATAATGTAGTCTATACCCAAAGGCCTTAAATCTGTATTAGACTGACTGGTTAACAACAACAACAGGGAAAGAGGTCAAGGAGTAATCAGTTGCTAATGAAGAAACTGTTAAAGAAAGCTGGAGTGGTATTTAAAAAAGCCATGGATTAAAAAAAAACTGAGGTTACAGAAAAAAATGAAAGGGCACAGCAAAAAAGAAGGACTGATCCATAAATATGCAAGTGAAGAGCAGAAGATACTGAGATTGCTATTGAATGAAACAGCAGATACTTAAGTTTCGAAAAAAGAGAAAAAGAAGAATTGCAAACTTGCAATAAATGATTCTCAACTTTTTTTAAAAAAAGCATTACTAATAAGATTGGACAAGGAGAATGCAGAGGTTTGGGACCGCAGTGGTCCAGGAAAACAGTTGGAAAATAGACAGAAGCAAGATTCAAACCAGAAAAGATACCTTAATGCAATTAGGACTTATCTAGTTTTACCCCTTAGTTCTGTCTACTTAGCAGTGGCATTATTAAAAAAAAAAAACACTAAATAGGAAATTTGAGGGCTTTGATCCTAAAGTGGTATATAAATTAGACTATTCTTTATTGTAATCCTAGTGAATGTTTGTCCTCCTACACTCACACTTAGATACACACACACATCTCTGCTATTTGCAATGGGAAAATACCTCCTCTCACTTAAATGTAATAGTAACTAGCTACTCTTCTTTCTACATTGGAATCCTGACATTCATTTAGTCACTTCTCATCTAGACTATTCAAATATGTGCTTTAGTAGTGTAAAAAAAAGCAGCTTTACAGGTAGTAGTTCACATCTTGCTTGGTGTTAAGTAAAGCACAGATTAAAATAGTTTCTTTGAGATCTGATTAAAGAACATTAAAGGTCTAAAAATGCATAAGTGGGGTTGGGTGGAAATGGATCTTGATAATGCAGAGAAAAAGAGTTGGATTTAAATCTCTGCTTGGAAGTATTTAACAGATTGGTCTGTTTAGTCATATGGTAAGGAAATAGTATGTGGATGTATGAATGTTGAAACTAAGACTAGCTTATTGTTTTTATTGTTGTTTTGTATTTAGGAAAGTTCTCCATTTTAAATATTCCCCTTTTTAAAATTCTGTTCATTTATTTAATGTATCCTGTTTACTTATTTAAACAACACAAGGTAGTAAACATGTCCCATACCCTTTCCTCATTTTATTTTTCCCACAACAACATCTAAAATGGTTCTGTATCTTGAAAGCTTACCAAAGATAATTTGAGCATGGATTTCTTCTAGAAATACTACTTCCCTATGCAGGTATGATCCCTTTGATTGGGGACAGTTTTGAAACATGCCACCTGCAACTTATAGGTTGAATTAGTACAGGAAGAAAGGGAAATATGCTTGTCTTGAACTGGTTCCTTGTCTGTCTTAATGTGGTCAAAAAGTCCACTATATATACTTTCTTTTTCTTTTTCTCAACTACAGAAACATTTCAGTTCGTCTCCAGGAGGCATTACGGCTTCCCCTTCAGTCTCACCTTTTATCTGAATGGAATTCAGGTTGCCCGATTAAGTTCTTGCTGTGAATATAAGCATCGGAAAGGTACTCGGCTAGGAGGCAAGCGTGGATACTTTGGTTTCGTCAACGTGGAAAGATCATCTCCTTGCTATAGGTATGCTTTGATGTTGATCAATCTGTTTTGAGGCTGTCTGTTGATCAATCTGTTTTAGTACTGTCTTTAGTTTGCCACCGAGTTTTCCCTTCAAGTGGTATATCTATTCAGATAGAGTCAACTCAGAGTCTATTTAAAGAGTATCTGGATCACAGCTCTGGAGGAGAAATCATATCAGTCTTATAAAGTAGTGAGTCCCTTTGTATCTTTAATATAAAAATAAACTATAGTTTATGAATAAATCTCTCTATATGTTTCCATCGGAATGAAGAACATTATAAGTTTTACATGCCATGGGATGCCTACTTATTTATGCTGAGAAAAATAACCTGATGAAGCATGAGTGGCATTGTGCGTCTTATCATGTTCTCAGAGCTGGATCTATGGGTTAGGCCCATTTGGTTCCCAAGAAACCCCTACGTAGGAGAACCTTTTCAAAGGGTCCAATGCATAGGATAGCAACATTAGTACAACTTGGTCAAATGGAGTTTTGTACATATGTCACTACTCACATCTAGAGGTCAATTTTCAAAAAGCTACACAATGCATCAGAATAAACAGCAGCCTGAATAACAGATGGATGTAACAGAAGTCTCCCCAACCCAGGAAAGCTTATCCCATCATTTTTATGGCATTTTCTCCAACTACAGTAAATTGATAGCTACAGAATTTGCACTGTAATTTGAACTTGTAATTTGTTGCACATCATCTAGTGAATATACATGATAAAATAGTCTAAATACAGGGCTAGAATTAATAATTCTTGAAATACAAGAAGGCTCAACTTCTGCCTTTGATCTTGAGCTTTGGACTGAAATGGCTAAATATGATAAATAACCATATCAATAACAACCATATCAAAAATCAGTACTAAGCACTTGCTGAAATGCTCCAATGAAAGAAAATTTCCAAAAATAATATTTATTCAAACACAAAGCCAGAGTAGAAATTGTAACTCTTCTATGGAATGTTTGATCACCCTTTGCAAGTATTTTGATTCCAGAATGTTGTTAGCAATCTTTTCCATTACAATTGCAAAATTCTGTCAATTGATTCTCCTTGGAAAATGTGGAAAGACTGTTATTTTAGGCCATAAATTAGCTCAGATCTCTCTTGCCTAAGCTTCAGGACATATTTTTGTATAAATTCAGAATTTGATTATTTTTTACACATGACAACCACCGAACCATTAATTTAAATTATGAAATAGGATTGATTAAATATTTTCCAATTATCTAATTTTTAAATCTACTTTTGCCTGAAAGCTGCAGAGGAAGATTGAAACTTACTTAAGCCTATTTGAGAGAATATTTGAAGGGAAGATAGGGCACAGTAAGGCTGTTACCAGCAGTCCTCACAATCTGTGGCCTTAAAGATTCCGGGTTCGATTGTAAAGTTAGAAAGAAACATCTTTACATATTCAGCTGAACATAATTAGAATCAACTACATGATTGTGGGCCTAGTAGTTCATTCAAACTTTCCAGTGGTGTGGATAATTTTAGTTGCATTTATGAAGACCCAATTTTGTACACTTCGTTCCGTAAGCAAAAGTCTGAAGATGTTGACAATAAAGTCTCTACATGTTTGGTGGCAAATAACCAATCAGAATGCCAATTATTTCAAAAAGGCAGTATCTTATCGATTTCAGCTTGGTAAACTTAAGACATCTATTAATATAATGTAATGGATTAGACCGACTTAAAATAGTTTGTTCTCTTTGATCATAGTCCTTTTGTGATATATTTTCAAATTCTATTTCCCTAGATCTTACAGGCTAGGATGTTGTAGTTTGGTTGTGGAGGGGTATTGTTGGCTCAATTCTGTATCACAGAGCAGTAGACATACACAGTAGTTGTTGGTTACTTTTCAACTGTAGGTCCAAATTCCTTTCAATAAGATACTTATTTACAATTTGTGAGCATTGCAATATTGAACCTACATTTTAAAAGTACGTTTAAAGAGCACAATATGGAGAAACGTAAGATAAAAATTTCAGAAAGATGGTTCATATATTACATTTTTTTCAAAAGACGGGATCTTCTGGGCATTCTCTGTTTGAAAAAGGTATTGATTTTGCTGATTGTGCAAATAAAAGAATATGGCCTTTAGTTTTAGTCTAGGCCAGGAATGTTCTTTAAGCTTTTGCCAGAAATGAAAACATCAACCACATCCATTTCTTCTGTAATATTTTCATTTCTTTGATGTGCAATGCAATGAGAGACCAAAAAAGTGGTGCACATTTCCCCACTGGGGAAAATATTTTATAAACAGCAGTGAACAAAATAAGGAAAGGAAAGGAATAGAAACCCCCAGAGAGTCAAATGATTTTTCTGATAAGCATACTGCGCCATCCAGAAACACTTCACTTCCTCTTCAGAGTCAGATTTGTATGATTAATGTAAATGTTATGCTATCACTAATGTGATAAGCGCTTTCTGAGGACTGGAAAGCATGCAAATTCGAGCCATAGTGATACTTTTTCACTACATTTCTAGTCTAGCCGTATAGGTGTGTTTATATGCCAATTTATTTTGACAAAAAAAATCAGGCAAGAGAATAGTAAAATGCTTTGCATAATTACTCTGGGGAACAGTATATTCTTATGACATATCGTTGTTGTGCATTTTAATCATTTTCGTTGATTTTGCTTTGCGTAAAAACTCCTGTAACCTTCTCTATAAGCAAACTTTTTTTATTGCTACTGCAGGCTATTCTGTTAATTGATTGATTTGATTGATTTAGATCACGTCTTTCCAACCAGATGGCACTTAATTTGCTAGCTTACTTAAGCATTCGGATAGGAGGAAGAACCCCAGTTATCATACAATTATATTGTAGCCCAGTGGTTCTCAACTTGTGGTTAACGGACCCCTATGGGTTCATGATGTCATCACAGGGGGGGTCTATGAAGGCTTGAAGAAATGTTATGATTTAAATCTTGAGTTAAGTCTTGGGAGTCCGTGGCCACAAAAGGTATTAAAAGGGGGTCTCTAGTGAAGAAAAGGTTGAGAACCTGTATTGTAGCCCATTGTGAGAACAAAGCCATTGAATATATTATTCAAATTTATACAGCCACCCATCTCACATGTATAACTCCTGGAGGGTTAAAAACAACTAAAATAAATATAAAAAGAACAAGTAAAAAAGAACAATCCAAAAACATATATAAACCATCATATCAAAATTCATAAAATTCATAACCATGGTAATCATAATAATAACACTCAGTTCAATCCCTGGGCCAGCTTAGTCACATTCTCTGCTGCCCATGCCTGATGGCCAAACTTTGTTTTCAGAGTCCTTTGAAAGGCCAGCAGAGTTGGCCTATGTCAGGGCTGTTAAATTCGAGGCTTAGATCTGGCCCGCAGAGCTGCCCTGGAAACAACGAAGGACTGGCCTGTGGTGCCTCTGCCAGCAAAAATGGAGCTTGGGGGCCTTATGTGGCCCTCCCAGGCTCCATTTTTGGCTGTGACAAGGAATGGAAGGGCCGCATGTGCCCCCTCCCATGCTCTATTTTTGCTGGCAGAGGGCTGCAGGAGGCCGTCACAGCTGAAAATGGAGTTTGGGAGCCCATTTTCACTGGCAAAGCACTCGGGCCACTACAGGCGCCCTGACACGAGTGATGTCAAGCTGGCCATGCCCACCCTGGCCGCACCCACCCCAGCTTCCCGAGGTCAAGAACAACCCTGATGTGGCCCTCAATGAAATTGAGTTTGACACCTCTGTCATATGTAATTTATTGGGGGGTGGGGGTATTGTGTTCTAAATTAAAGGTAAGATAGTCTAGATAATATAGAATTAAAAGAATGTTGCAATAGACTGTCATGGTTGAAACATTAGCCAGCTAGTTAGTCATGAGACTAATCTATCAAAAAGTAGTGGCCTCACCATTCTCCTACAGATATCTTCTCACAAGATTATTATCAGATTATAACAGGTGAGATGGACAGCCTATAAATCAATCAATCAATCAATCAATCAATCAAACAAACAAATAAATAACATATGAGGTGTGTTGAAAGTGGCTTCTAAAAGGTACCAATACCTCCACTGTGAGATTGTCCTTTGTTCCTATGTTTTAATGATTGGGTTTTGTTTTATGCTTAGCTAGCCATCCTCTTGGTTTTAAGTCTCTATTTAAATTATCTTAATTTTAATGGTTTTGAGTCTTTATTTAATATTTCTTGATTTTAATTGTTTTATATTATCTTTTTATCACTTTGTAAGCTACCAAGAGTTGCTTCAACAGTGAGATGGGTGGCATATAAATTTAATAAATAAAAAATAACCCATGAAATAAACTTTTATTTCTACAATTTCTAAGGAAATTACAACAGAGCTTAATCAAATAATGCTTCTATAAACTGCACCTATACAATTCACATTTATAGTAGAATCTGGAATATTTGCTCTCCATAAATCTTTGAATTCTTAATTTGGAATTTAATTGGGGAACTTGGAAGAAATCTTATACATATTTCATTTTACAGATTTTTTTTTTTTTTTTACTAAAAACGTTTTTCTCATTCTGTGGTCAGGGAATTCTGATCTTAAAGTGGCACTTTGATTTCCTCAAATCAGCACATTTACTTTAAAGTACTCTTTAAAATTATGTTAGCTGCCCTCAATTTTTTACATATATTATTTTATTAAGCTTATCATGGGAAAATAGGGAAGGTGAAAAGAGGAAAAAGAAGTATAGAATAAAGGAGAAAAAAGGAAGAAAAGCATTAATTTCTGAATATTCAGCGCAGTAGAATAAAAATAGAACCTTAACATTTTACTTTTACATTTACTTTTTGTCTAATATGTACTAACCATTTCTATAACAACAAAGTCAAAGTTTCATTTTTTTCTGTCTCAAGCACAAAATTCAAAAGCAGTTTCCAAGCAGAAACAAAGTTGGATGTATTTTTTTTGTTTAATTAAAACAATAATTTGGCCATCAGTTTTTTTCAGCCATACTTCCATTGTGGAAATTAGTGTCTGTTTCCCTTTTTTGCATGTATAGCATTTTTGCTGTGTCAATCTATATATTAACAAACTTCCAGATTTTTTTTTTTTTTTCAAATTCTTCATCCACTAAACCTTAAAGAAATGTCTCTGGTTTGATTTTTATATTTATTTTGCGAATCTTCTCTATTAAAATATGAATTTTATCGCAGTAATTCTTGTCACAAATGCATCAAGGCAAAAAGTTCCTTCTTTACAGTTCCATTTCCAATATATATTTAAAGCACCCTTATACATCTTTCACAATTTGTCAGGTACCATTGATATATCATTTTATAAACATTTTCCTTTAAGTTATAATTCAATATAAATTTTAAATCCTTCATCCACACATTTTCCCATTGTTCTAGCATTACATCATACCTAAAATTCTTTGCCCATTGAATCATACAATGCTTTTCATATTCATTCTCCAAATTCAGTTTCAATAACAATTTATAAACCTTGGCAATTACTGCATAGTACAGTTTCAAATTCATTTTTTACAGATTGTACATTTTTACAATCCTATAATTTTTTGTGTCTAATTTAAATCTTTCTTTTAATTTAAAGTAGGTATATCAATGAGAGAGACATCCGTCTGGCTCCAACTCTTCCTTAGACTTAAGAGTGACTATTGCCCTCAAAATTGATTTTATAAAATCAGTTGCCCCCATTTTGCTTTACATTAAGCTTCAATCCAACATTCCATTTAAAAAAGATTTTTAAAACTGTGCCATATTTTCCCTTAATGCATTATGAATCCATTAATCTGAAGATGTACTGACAAATGGAAATTCACCTCCCTCCCAGAAAAGGACTCCCTCTCATCGTATAGTTTTTCATTAGGGTCAATTAGCTGATAAAACAATTTAAAAATTCTCCAGCTACTTTGGTAATGCTTGTACAATTCCAATATATACATATCTTTTTGTTGTATATTTGTTGTATATCTTTTCCTGTTTTTTTTTAAAGAAATGCGGAACTTTCTCTGTTTTTTTTTCTAGTAATCTATAGAATAAGACACTTTTAGTAGTATGTTTTCATAATATTGTACTAAATTTTTATCAGATGTATCATTACAATGGGCCTGGACAGAAAGCCTACACCTCCAAAAAAGAAGACTCTTGAAGAAAGCGCAAAGCTGGAAGATTGGAAGAAAGAGGAAGTGACACAAAAGCTGAAAGAGGAAAAAAAAGTATTACCGGCCCACTTTCCTTCGGCTTCTGCATTAAAGAAACGAGCTGCAGAACATGCTGAAGAAAAGAAATTGGACACCAAAAAAGGAGAAAAAGATAAAGATGAATTTGAGGATACCCAGAAAACTGCTACTTATGAAGGTATGGTGTGAAAAGAGAAAGCGAGTTGGTCAGTGAAGGGTCCTTGGTGCTCTCAGAGAACACCAAGGACCCTTCAGTTCAACCCTGAGCTACAAATATTCCCCTTTATCAGTGTAAGTTGCATGAAGGAATCCCTTAAACTGAATTGATCTGAAACAGCCATCCTGGATCTACTGTCCTCCAGGTGTGCCATATTTGAGCTCCCAGAGTTCCCAAGACAGCTATTATTATTTCATCCTTATCATCAATCATTCAATAAAGCCAAAATAGTTAAGCAGAATCTGATGTGCAAATAGGAACCAAATATCTTATACCAGTTGTTTTAATGGAATTTCACAAGCAAAATAGAGAGAGATCAACCAAATCAGATCTATGCTGCTTTGATCACATTTTACTGATAATAATTTGTTTCCTTAAATGTTTCCTTATGAGATCTCTTCTTGTTTCCTGGCATTGTATAGAACGTAGGGTTGGGGTGGGGAAGTGAATGAAAGGAATAAAGGGGTCAGGGGCTACCACAAAGAAGAGGGAGTCAAGCTATTCTCCAAAGCACCTGAGGGCAGGACAAGAAGCAATGGGTAGAAACTAATCAAGGAGAAAAGCAACCTAGAACTAAGGAGAAATTTCCTGACAGTTAAAACAATTAATCAGTGGAACAATTTGCTTCCAGATGTTGTGAATAAAAGCAGAGTGGACAATTAAATTTGACAGAAAAACACGTTGTACAGTTTCAGTCCATTGCCAACTTTGATGTTGTTGTTATTTTTTAGGACCAAGTACAAAGGTGAACAAAAGCTCATGGACTTAATCTGATGGGAATTAATAAGGTCCAGTAATAATATGCAGTTGATTCTCACAAGATATCATTTTATTTCAGCATATGAGGAAGATTTTGAAGCTGAGGAAGAGAAACCAGTTGAGAAAGTTGAGATAAAAGCACGTGCTGATGATCAAATGAGTGAAAAAGGGAAACCAGTCTCCGAAGGAGAAACAGACCATTCTGACCGTGAAAGGAAGAAAAAAGTCTCATCACTGAAATCTTCACGGACTTCTGAAAGTGAGCGAGATGAAAGTGAGGGATATACGGAAAGCTACACAGAGGAAGAGGAGAGAAAACGTGGTTAGTTGTTGTTGTTGTTTTCTTAAAGTACAGCATCCTAATATCTTTTTAATACTTCAGAGGACTCTTCATTTTCAGGGTCATGGTTAAGTACCACTTAAAGTTGGACTTATTCATTTGTTTATTCATTTATTCATTCAATTATTTATTTACTATTTATTTATTTATTTCCCATGTTATTATTCAGTCTGGCTCCATTCCTGTTAAGCCAAAGAGGAGTGTAGGAACAGGAATGAAGCTGACGGTTATAGAATGAAATATTACAATGTCTGCTATGAATTATGTCTGCAGTTCATACCTGAACTACAAATGCTCTTGTCTTTGCATAGAATAAAATAGACTCTATTCTATTCTGTGCAAAACAAGACATAAGGGGAACTTTCTCACTGTCTTTTTTAAAACTTCCCTCCTAACAATGTTAATGAGCTTTTTCTTCTCTGTGCTCTTCTATGTACTGTTGTCAAATCAGAAGCAGATCTTAGATTATTGGGAAGCTCCTGTCAGTAGATCTTTGAATACTTTCAGTGACATTAGCTAAAAAAAGCTCCCTGGGAAGATGGGAATATATTCTTATAAATTCAAATAGTTTGTAATCCATGGTTTGCAATGGTGATCGCTTTGTTTGCAAAGTCTGGGGGTACAAACAATAGTCTGTTCTGTGCTTTGTCTTTTCTGAGTTGGAGGCATATTTTTCTCCTACGTTTTTACTACTGTCTTGCAGGGCAGCCACTAGATGTCACTTTAGCATTGTAAAGTGTCAACTGCTGTAAAAGTATTCTCCCTCTGCCTGTCTGCCAGTTTGCCAGTAGTGGCAGAGATCTCTTGTCCTATCTTTGTGATCTTGCACCATAGCACTTTATGGTGCACTATTTCTACGCACCCTCACTTTGTTCTCACAATGAAATGTCCCAACCTCAAGATGAAAAATATGTGTTCATGGGCCAGTTGTGTTCTAGGCAGGGAACAAAAGCTCAATGTGGTGAACCCACAATATTTATTAGCACAAGCAGATTAAAATGTCACAGGATTTGTTTCAGGAGCATAAATAAGATTGTGGGTAACCTCTCTCTTTTCCAGTCAGCATGACTGATGGAGATAATTATTTCCTGTACGTATTTGCAGCCACCCACTTTCATAAATAATCTAGTGGGAAGCATGTATCTCATTTCCCATTCATTAATACAAAAAGTGTAGAAACGGGTCAAAAGCAGAGCACATTTGGAAGATTATGGAAGCAGTCAGCTTTTGGGCTTTCTGTTGATGCCAAGCTGATTTCTTCTTCCTTTTTTTCTGTCTTACTGTTTCTGGAGTGGCTGTCACGTATTCAGCTGTTGCCACTGAAGCTGTTCCAGACTTTCCTCTGTTTACTGCTTATCCCTAAAATTGTTCTCATTTTGATGGGCCTTACATGAAAGAACCTTATTTTATTTCAAACCAAATGTTAATTAATGTTGCTTTTACTTTCATATTTTCTGTATGAAATATAGGTAAAGGTAAAGTGACTGACTGGGAAATTGATGCATCTGCCCGAAAGGACTCAAGGTTGTTGTTTTTTATAGGAAGCATAAAAGTCAACAGCAAACTTGGGCTGTCAAATCAGGTTTGGAGTTGGTTTGCATGGAAAAGAATCTTGGTTCTGATTAAGACAAATCCATTTTTTACTGGAAAATAATAATCTTGCATCTTTGCTATCAATAAGCATAATTGCACATTCTTTTCCTTTTTAAAAATGTTGGCATGTCTTCTGAGGCTTGTGGTACTGTATTTAGTGACACTGCCTCAAGGTCCTTTTATAGTTTTTTTTAATTTAGTTGGGCCACTGATATGATTTAAATTTGAACAATGATCACATTTGGTGTTTGGTGTTTGGGAAAGTAATTAGCAGTTAATTTTTGCTTCCAAATAAATGTCAGCAACTTGCTTGGTCTTTCTCTTTTGTAGGCACTTTTCTGTAAGGTACTTAGTCTCTATTTGATATGGATACCATACAGTTAGGGATGGGAAGTCTTGCTTTGTAATAGAGGCTTGTCCCGACAGGGATGGTAATCAGAAGGCCAAGGACCATCCTTTAATTGACCATTTCCATTACTCTTTGGTTCTACTGACTATACAACATTTAGATGCTTGTTAAAAACTCACCTCCATTTCTTTCAGGTCCCTGGATGATTAGCCATGACTGAATTCATTTCATAGCTGAAAAAGATATATCTTTTGACATTGTATAATTTTGACATTGTATAATTTATTTTGTTGGAATGGAACAAAGTAATTTTGTCAGGGTGCTTGCTGATTTGTTTCTTTGCTTATATTATCAATGGATTTCTTATTTAAAAGTACCAGATTTGCATCTTATGCTAGATTGTTCAGACATAGAGAACAGATGCATTACATTATGAGTTTCCTTCTTTCCATCTCTCTTTCTCTGTCTGTCTGTCTCTGTCTGTCTGTCTGTCTGTCTACATTTTCAGGTAGTAGTGCAGAAAGATTTTGAGGGACTATGCATTTTTTATTTATTTTTGACTAAAAATTAAATTTCAAACAGTGTAGCAGTAACTTATTTTTTAAAATATAAATACACTGGAATAATGATCCACAAAACCTGCCTTATTCTTGACAGATGTATTTTTGCAGGTCTAATTGAAGGTGAAATTTCTCCCAATGTGGAAATTTTTAATAACCTCTCCAGATAGATAAGGAATCTTTACTCTTAAGAATTTTTCCCTACCATTGTTTTGTTGAGAGCTGGTCAGAGAGACTGAATGTACATTTTTCAGATCCTGGTAGGCCACAATCCTGTGAATATATCAGAAGGACTCATTAGTTAGAGAAAACATTTCATGGTGTTTTGCTGAGGGCAGCAAACAGCGATTTTACTATTAATTTGTTTATATTCTCTAAAATTCTGGTAATATTTTTAATGAGCTGGCTAGCTCAAAGATAGTGTGGCTTTTTACATTCTTGGAGATTTAAATCTAATACTATTTTGCATATTCCTCATAAGCCATGGCAGAGCAAATATCACCGATTTCAGTTTCCACGTGCATCACTTATGCTTTGTATAAAAAGGGGGATAATATAAAGCTCCAAGTCAGTTGTGTGTTTTTCCCATCGATGAAGTGATTGTGCACTCTGTGTTTGTGTGTGTGTGTGTGTGTGTGTGTGAGAGAGAGAGAGAGAGAGTTTAAATGAGAACCTCATTTGGTTGGCAAGAGAAAAAGTACAGTTTGTTAGTCATTCTCTCACTCTCTAAAGAACATAAAAAGACATAGAAATTGAAGGTAGCTTATGAAAAGACATCAATGGCTAATTGCCATAGATAATTATATATATACTTTTAAATTTGGCTTCTATTTTGTTATCCTTTTCAGGGGTAGCATTTGGCTTCATACAACCTATCAAAAGGCATGAAGTCATAAAGGTGATTCCCTATGGCAACTATTACTATGTAGCAGAATGTCATGTACATCGGTGGAGATGGCCACTCATTGCTCTCTTGTTAGCCTCCCATTCCGGCCTCGAGGGGAAGAGGGAGGGTTGGATGAAAAGGAGCAAGAGCAGAGCCAGGATTTGCCGGTGCTGCTGCTGGTTTTGCCATATCATGTTTACCTCCTTTTGAGAGGAAGAGCAGGACAAAGGGAAAGCGAGGAAGGCCAATCAGCAGCACTGGAACAGGATGTGTCATTGAGAAAGGAGATATGACCGCTCGTGGCCAAGATGGTCCAAATTAGGACCAGGGGTGGGATTCTACAGGTTTGGAATGGTTCGAGTGAACCATTGCAGTGAGTATTTGCACCCCCAGCCCCTCCTCTTTCTTGTGCTTTAGTTCATTGTTTTAGAGCAGGGGTCACCAACCTTTTGGACCTCAGGTACCACCAAACTCATAATTTTAAATCCCAGGGACCACTAACTGGTTCTGTGGACATGGCCTAATTTGTGGGTGTGGCTTGGTGGTCATGTGACTGGCTGGGCATGGGCATGGCTTGTATTTAAAAAAGAGCAACTTTTACCCAAAATCAGGCAAAGCAGGCAGGCAGATTGAGTTGCTCACAGAATCACAGATTCATTCAGAGATCTATCTATCTGCCATTGGCTAGCTCAGTCTGTCACATAAAATTTGCTTGCAAGCAAACTCACAAAATTAACTCACAACACATCATGTTTGTAAATATTGAATTTTGAAGTTTGCCCGGTAAGGAGTGAATGGACAGGGAGGGTTCCCGCAGGCCATGTGGGCAGTGCAGCCTTGTATTTCTGTGCAGCCTGGATTAATTGCTTTGGGGCGTGCTCTGGGGGTGAGATTTCTCTGCGGCCCACCAAAATTTTCTCACAGCCCACCAGTAGGCTGTGCCCCACCAGTTGGCAAACGCTGTTTTAGAGCACAGCTGATTCACACGGCAGAGCAATTTGCCGCACCTCAGCTGTTTTATTCACAGGGGATGCAGTAGAAGGTTATAGCTGAAAATGGGGCTTTTTAAAATATGGAGCGCGTGTTTGGCATGCTTGCGCTCACTGAACCAGTTGTTACACTAGTTGAATCGCACCACTGATTAAGGCCATTGACCAGAAGTTTTCCTTTCCCTGTACTACCTCACCTTCCGAGTATGCAAGTTTATGGTAGATTTTAAATAAACAACCCAATTCAGTCAATTGCCCAAATGAAGAAAGCTGGAAATTCTCCTGCTGAAAAGTGATTCTCTTATAGCTTTCTATGGAGAGCAGGCAGGAGACAGGGGTGCAAGACATTTGAATATTGTTTATTTTAAGCAGAGCTGGCATTTGATGCACAGAAGTCTCTGGAATTCTTTCTCATAGCTTCATGGGTTTGCTGCAATAAATCCATTTATCTGAGCTTTCATTTTGTGAGAAACACTTTCCTGCTTTGTCAACTGAGGGATGCCTGACAACAGATTATTCAGATCTGGACCACAGATTACTTAAATTTTAGCTCCCATCAAGTTCTTGACTGGCTCTATTTACTGACTAGTTATATGTTCTTTAGCTTTGCTTTCCCATCTGGAAAATTAAGATTATAATGGTTCGCTCAATTGTGATGCAGTCATTTTTATAACAGTGGCTGTAAAATACATTGTGTTACGTTAGTGTAAGGCAAATGATACCTAAAACCATTCTTATTCTTATCAAGCAAACTTGTTTATTTTACAAAAGTCTGAAAACCTTGCAGAATATTTAGAGCTGCACAAATGGAAATAGCAATTTAAAATATTTTCAGAAATTACAATTATCTCTAGCAGTAGGCAAAACCCAAAAGACACCAGAAGTCAGAATTGCATTAAATGGAAGGCACAAGAATTAAATAGATTATCACATCAAAAGTACACTGGTGTTTTTAGGACAAAATTCTCACGGGTTTCCTTGATCAGTTCTATTATAGGCATCTTCTAATAAATGGATATTGCTTGTGAAGAATAAATGGCAAATAATAATGGGGAGGTACAGATTTTCTAAATTAATTCTGTGGTCCTTTTCGAAGCGAGTCATCACATGATCAGGTCCTGTTTTACAACCATTTCACCAAAGTTGTTAAGTGAATCACATGGTTGTCAAAGAATCCAGCTCTTCAATTGGCATTGCTTGTTGGAAACCAGCTAAGAAAGTCAGAAAATCATGATCATGTGACCATAGGATGTGACAGCTGTTCGTAAATGTGAGCTGGTTGCCAATCGCCCAAATTGTGATCACAGGACAGGGAGGGTGGTGCAATGATGGTAACTTTGAGGACAGGTTGTAAATAACTTTTTCTGAGGCCATTGTAACTTTAAGCCACCATTAAATGAACAGTAGTAAATAGAGGACAACTTGTAAAGAATGTCTTAATGTAACCAGTTCTTCAGGTACAGATAGTCTTAGATGAGCCGACTTAAATTGATAAATTTAATCAGTTGGCTGTAACGTGTAGATAATATTAATAGGTGCTTGAGATTGAAATTTAGATCCTCTTTATGCCCTATGCCCACATCCTACTCAAGGATATATTTAAATGAAAGATTGATTTATTGTAAATAAAAAATAAAAAACTTTTGGGGAAAAAAAGGATATATTTTCACAAATGTGTCGAGGTAACACCTTCTAGCATGATGTCTGAGAATTCTGGGTATTATAATCCTATACCTTTGGAGATCACCTAAGGGCTGTGTAAGATCCTGCCTCTCCAGTCTTCTCAAGAAAGCAGAACTCTTGAAACAATTATCATTTCAAAAGGAACTTTTATTGAAAGACAGTGATAGCAAAGGAATTGTAGGCAGGACCTGAAGTTTCCTGCTCAAAGTGTTTGATCAAATCACTGCAAGCAAATCCCTTCCCAATGTCCAGTTCAGCATCGAGCCAATCCCAAGATGCGAGGATGTTTTGAGAACCTCAGGAAGAGAAGGTGATAACTGTCAACTCCCCAAAGCTCTTTGGTTTCACTTTCTCCGGTGGTGAGATAAACCAGATGGATCAAAGCACATGCCTTCCCCCTCCCTATTTCCCACAAGACACAGCAAAGCAAAGCAAAGCAAAAGAAACCTCCCCAAACTCCACCCCCCCCCACCAAATTGGCACCAACCCCATAGAGAACTATGGGACCTGACAGGCTGCTTTAGAAGGATTTAAACAATATTTTGCATTTCTGTGGAGAAAGGCACTTTTTTCATGCTTAATTCTAGTAGGTTTTCCTACTTGACTTCGTAAATAATGATCCCAAGGATTGGGGCGGTGGGGGCGGGGGCAGGATGCCATTAAATTGTAATTGTCTTTACTCTTTGTAGGTAGAAAAAAAGTGCTTTCCATCTCTGGCAGCAGCACCTTATACAGCAGCGGAACCGAATCTGAGTTTGAAGGCAGGAAGCGGGATGAGGAGGAAGACATTACAGACATTCATTCAGAATATGAAACAGAAACCACCAAATCTCAACGGGAAGGAAGTCAGGGAACTGATGTGGAAGAAGAGGAAAACTTGGGGGAAACAGAAACAGAAAGCTTGAGCACCAAGAATGTGCCAGATATCTTCTATGAAGAAAAAGTGGAGATGACCCTGCAGGACATTAGTCCGGGCCATGAAAAGCCCAAGCTTATAGGGCTGGTAGACATGGGGGAGGAGGAAGATAAGTTAGTGCATTTGAAAAGCAGTGCTCTAGAAGGATATCCGAGCAGGAAGATTTCTGAAGATAAGGAAGGTGGTGAGTATGGTTTGCAGAGACATCTGTAATAGGTCTGGTGAATACAGATGTGTTTCTTTGTTGATTCTTAAGTGAATGCTGATTTTTCTGGTGCCATGTTTTGATACTGCATATGAATAAAAACCCTGCTTGAATCTTCCTAAATCTATTACTATCCTTGAACGGGGCAAGATTTTGCTTTGATGTATGTGCCAGATAACAGGCAGAGTTTTGTCTTCAAATTGCCATGCTATCTTATTCTTTCAAGTGCTGGAATTGAGTACTCTTGCATATATGGCTTTCGTGAGTTTTTTTCTCTCTCTTGTCTCCGTCACTGTTGTGCATGGGATATTTGTTGACTGAATTAATTTAATTTCTAGTTAGCCCAGGGGCAAAGAGATGAAATGAATCTTAGATCAGTGAATATGCCTGGAATTGATAATAACCATCATTGAAATGGTAGTTGTAGAATTCGTACAAAAAGAACAACATCAATGCATCTTTTGTAAAGACTCAGAAACATAATATCTAAAACAAGTTTTTTTGTGTCTTTTTATCATTTGGGACAATGAATTAGGACCCCCAAATACAAGATATTTTTTCAGATTTTTCATGATCATGGAGAATATGGATTGCCATATTTAGGTTATCCTTCTTTTCTATTAGATTATTTGGCCATCTAGGGTACCACTGTCCAATACAACCTTTCCAACCTGTTGCCCACTAAATATATTAGTCTACAATATCCAGAATTGTAACCCACATGGTTATTTCTGTGAATCATAACATACATATTATTTACATGGTCACTCCTGTTTTCTGCCTCAGATCCCTTTGGCAAGAAAGACAAACATATTCTATCTTGTTTTAATTTAGCTCGTGATGGAAATATTTAAAGGGTGAATCAATTCATACTAATTAGCATGCTATCAGTGGTGATGCAGACATGAAAGAAAGCCATAAGTCATGTTAATATTTTTGATTTGTGGTTTAGAATAGGTTCCTTGGATGATGATACATTATGTTCTTGCCTGATTTAATAGATTTTGATAGCTTGTTTCACATTACCTTGTGTTACTGGATTTACTAGTTTGGCAGGGGCAGAAGATTATAAAATGGTAATTGTTTGCTAGCATCTTGGTGCTGGATTGCTTTTCATTGCTTTGCAATTTTTTATGTATAAAACATGGAGGAATATTGGAAAAAAATACAGTTCTGGATAATTATGCTGAATTATTTATAGGTGTTTAGTTGCTTGAAATACTTTCCTTCATCCATATGCTAGGTTTTCAATATGAGTGACTTTGCAATTACACTCTTAGATGAGATGAATATTTAAGTATAATTGAGGAATGAAATTAAACACTTAAGAAGAATACATATAGAATTACATATTCTAATATTAAACGCAAGTGTGGAGAAATCATGTATTTCTAGATTTTAGCATAAAAGAATATCGTCATTTCTATTTTGCTCATACCATGATCATACCATGACTGCAATGGTTTTAGTTTTCAGTGAGTACAGCATTTAGCAGTGTCTTCAGATTCTACCCTTGTGATTGAAGGTAGTAAAAATGTCAGCTACCAACACCTCTTTAAAAGAAATTTTACAGGTAGTAATAGATGATATGGTATGCCTTGATGAATGTCCTGGGAAACAAAGAAAAAAATGGTTGCTTAACATTTTCTGAATGGGAATGTCAGGGGACTTGTGAACATTCTAGTGAATGATTTTGAAGATTGTTTTGGGAACAACAATATATTCAACCTTCGCAAATCTCTGAGACCATTTAATGCTTAATTAACCTATTAGGTTGTGTTAAGAGATCAGATTCTAAGAATGGCCTAAGCTCAAATGCTGTGATCAGTTTTGGTCAAGTCCCTTTATTCACAGAGCAATCATCCATACACAGAATGACTCCCCTGTTTTAAAGGAGGACTCAGATTGCAATATTTGCCAATAGTCAGAGAAAAAAAGTTTGTAAGAGTAGCAGGAATGTCCAGAAGAGGCATATAAAAGAAGCATATATGTGAAAATGATGCAAGGATATTCTCCCTTGGAAATGTATTACAGGTAATATTTCTCAAAGGCCTGTCAATTGAACGAATCTTATTTCTTAGCACCTTGACTAAATTCAGTGTGAGAGACATCAATTTTTCTCTCATTTTTTTTGTCCGCTAAGAACTTTTAGCTTCTCGTTGGGTTGCAGGCACCAGTTGATTACATCTGCTTATTTTAGCTGTTTTGCATTTTTAAAAACCATGGGTTAGGTTAGGATGAATGGGTTAGAGTGATATTTTTCAACATTGGTAATTTGAATATGTGTGGACTTTCGCTCCCAGATTTCGTCCAGTTAGCAAGCTGGTTGGGAAATTTAGGGATTTGAAGTCCACACATTTTCAAGTTGAGAAACACTAGATTAGCTTTAGGTTTGGGGTCATTGATCAATAGTTGATAATTATCTCTTCAAATATATGTGTACGATAGTCATGAGAACAAAGATGTCAAAGAATTGATTATATCCATGAAGGGTAAAACATTTTCAGATGAGATTTTAATACTGTTAGCAGGAAAAAAAGGAAGAAAGCTGAGACATCAAGCCACAGAAATGAATGTATGTACAAATGCTATGAGGGTCTTCTAATTATTGAAAGACCTCGATGCTAGTTGCATGCTATGTATCCTTCACAATTGGATGAGTGGCAGGTTGTTTAGGATCCATTGTAGCCTTAAACTGCACATTGCAATGTCTTATCTACCTTGCTTACATTGTGGAGATAAAGTAAAGGAATCTCCATGCACCAAACAGGATTTACCTCATTATACATACATTAATCTATAGGTGATGTGGCAATACTAAATATTTTCCTACAAAACAGCAATAGCACCTAGACTTATATACCACTTCATAGTGCTTTACTGCCCTTTCTAAATGATTTACAGAGTCAGCATATTGCCCCCAGCTATCTGGGTCCTCGTTTTACTGACCTCAGAAGGATGGAAGACTACGTCAACCTTAGTCAGGATCGAACTGCTGTCAGTCAGCAGAATTAGCCTGCAATACTGCATTCTAACCACTGCGCCACCAAGGCTCATGCATGAATAGGGTGTCCAGATTTAAGGAGAGCCTTTAGTATTTTCCTTTTTAAAAAGACAAAACATAAATGCTGAAGAGTATTTTTTTTTTTACTCTTACAGAGCAATTTCCTTCTCTCTCCTTTAATGTCATATTGGATGGAATAAAAATAATGTGCTGTTGTTTAGAAAATCATAGTTTCTGAGCTGATAGTAATAAGAGATATTAATAATAGGCATTTTGTTATAAACAACTGAAGTGTAAATAATCTAATTATTAACACAGTAAAGTTACAGTGAAAATATTAGTATTCCTTTAAGCTGTCAGGGACCTAATAATAATAATATTGTAGAACTGTATAGCCAAACTGGATACGCACATGTTGAGCTTGTGAGGATTTGCATTCAACCTTTCCTGGACATCAAAATGAGACAAAGCTTGCCTTGCAAGTTATTTTACTTCCTCAAGGAATTAACAAAACTATTGGAATTGTGTCAGGAAGCTTAGTATTCAAAGATGCCTTTAGTTTATCTGTGATGGAATAATAGCTTTTCAATTGTATTGTTCCTGTTACTGTCCTTGTTGTTACTTGTATCCAGCCTTCAGGATACCTTTCTGTTTTTAATTTGTGCACAAATTAAAACCATTTCTGAACAAAGGTGACCTTACAGCTTGGTGATATTTGAAAGTGTTGAGTGCTTTGTGTAGTTTTTGCATGGGAGAGATATAGCATTTGCATGAAATTTTCATTGCCTAAAGAATGAATGACGTTTGCTTATTTGTGTATATAATTCATCTTTAAAGTGAAGAATTTTGCTGGATCATAATTGCCACCCTTAGCTAGTTGTAGAGTAATTGTAAGCTCATTTTATGTTCAAGGATGGGTTGGTTTTATTTTATTTTATTTTATTTTTGCTTTCTCTTTTGCTCTTTTTATGATTGCGGTACTATTTTTTTGAAGATCGCAAATCGGTCAGAGAGAAAATAGCTGAGGCTATTGAAAAAGATCAGCTTTTGAGTTCTGAACCTGAACCTAGTGATTACAGTACAGAGGATGAGGAAGAACAAATAGCTCAAGGTAAATTTGAAGGTAAATTCTACTGTTTGCATGGAACCTATCTTCAATATTACTTCCTATTTAAATGCTGTGTCTAATTTATGTTTTACACCTTATATTTTATATTTTCATCTTTTCCTTCTTTTTCTCTCTTCCATAGGGTGGGGGGAATGTTTTTTAATCACTACTGTCTTCCTCAGGAAATATGATCTTTGAAGCTGCTTCACCTTCAACTCCTTCCTTGCACGTCACCCTATTTGCTACAAAACTCTTATACAGGCAGGGAACTCAGATATAACTTAGGTCAGGAATAATAGCTAGAGTTCATTGGCCTTCCCCAGCTGTATGATCCACAGAGCTTCCTAGAATAACCCAGATTGGTGTTTCTTAACGTTGGCCATTTTAAGATGTATGGACTTCAACTCCCAGAATTCTCCAGCCAACATAAAGTCCACATATTAAAGTGGCCAAGGCTGAGAAAAATTGGCCGAGATTATCTTTGTTGGCATAATAGCTGATATTTGGCTGCACAGTTGCAGCCTTTTTTCTGGGTCAGTTAAAGTTCAAATAAATGTAGTCAATCTGAGATTGAATGCATCAGTTTTACTCAGTTTTAATTTGCCAAACCTTCCCACTTCTTACCGGTAACATATAAGCACACATAGTTGATCTTGTCATTAATAGTGACAAGATTGTACCACCAAATATATTCCTCATACCTCCTGGAAGTCAACTAAAAAAAAAGGACCTTACTCACCTGATATTGCTTGCTTGTTCATGTCTTAGACTATCCAACAATTGTAAACAGCATATTAAGTGGGCATTTTTGCTATCACATGAAGAAAAAGTAAACATGTCACATTTTAGGTCACATTCTGTAGCTCTATATTATATGGAAAAAACATAAATGAGATAAAATTGTCTTAAATTATTGAAACCTGTGAGGAATCCTCAAAAGTAACTCTCTGGGACTCCACAAATAATGACACACTCTTATTCTAGAGTGTTTTAAGAATGGGTAGAGTCCAAGTCATATTTTAACAGCTGTTTATTCTCCCTGATAGTGAATTGAAATCTCAGCCATGCCAAATCCAGTCATAAGTATAGTAGAAGAAAAATGTAAATACTTGACAAGTGTTCATGCTGTTGCTAGAGGGGAAGTATTTTATGCACATCAGGTGGTGCAATCATATTTTCAATATACTTTTTACAGTTCTGATCGCCTGTTGTGGGAACCCAGCAATTTTGGTTTCTAAACTGTGCTTTATGGCTTAGCATTATGCATGACCTTCAGTTGGGATTTATTCAACAGATCATGTTATTAATGTTCATAAAGAAATCTATAACTCAACAGATGTTGAGTTTTATTTGATATTATAAGGAACTGAAAGTCAGTATCAATTACTTATCTTCTGTAATGTATAGTTTGGGCCTTAAGTGCCCAAATCCCCAATGTTGGGATACATGTTAGAGTGACAGCCTCTTCATGAGACTGACCAGCAGGTAAGAGTTTAGATGCTTTCTTCCACTCCACACAATACTATGCAAATTTGACTGCTCCTATAAACCATTTTGTCAGAAGTCAAATTGAGGTTTTCTTAATAATACTATGCTTTTTTTTTCTTTTATTCTCTTGGCTGAATTATAACCACTTTCTTTAAGAAACCAGTTTTGATTCCAAGATATATCTTATTTGATTGGATTGTTCATTGAAAGTCACATACAGTATAAAAGTCTAGATGGATGCTATTAGCACTTCAATTTCAACAGTTTTTAGTGCCAAGTACTTAAATTATGCAAGCATACAGGTCAGAGAGGTCTATAATAATCTATCTTATATATATTTTATTGTAATATTTTCTTTAACCTTTAAAGGCTTAGAATGTAATTTATTGAACATAATAGTGACTACATTGAGAGTTTGTACAGTATTTCCAATGAAAGTAAAAAGACTCTAGTGTAAACAGAATTAGGCAATCATCCAAAAATCAAATACTATGAAAATCCATTGAACATTATGTTTATATGTAGTCCTGTATTACCTGTTGCACATAATTCTCACTGAAACCAATGGGAAAAGTAAATCCCAAATCAATTAGGGTTCATTATTCTCAAATAGGCTTAACACTTTGTTCTGCTTATATTTCTAGAAAGCAGTTATAAGGCTTCTAGGTCAGGGACATTTACACATAGTGGTTAAAAAATCAAGAGAGGAGCAACCATAAAAAGGATCATACAACAAACACACAAGGGCAGGACTTTGTTTGCAGCTTCCGCATCTTAAATTTTTAATCCCCTGCAGACACACTCTTCTTGGTCCCATGTAGCTATTTCTCACTTCCTACTAATCAGCATTTTTAATTCACTTGTTTTACTTACATGAAAAGTCACATTCATATGAACCTAAATGTGCATTTATACAGATATCATTTTCTAAAAAGCTAGGAATTGTTTTATGATAGGACCAGGAAATATAGAACATTGCAATTTTTAGAAAGAAAGTTTTTGGAAACATTATGATATTTGGAAATGATGTCAGATATTCAATCCATTCATTTTCTCCCTTATGCTTGTATTTGTATAGACACAAAGCCTTGAGGTGGGCAATAATTTCATTTAAGCAACTAGGAGCAAACTTATTTTGTAGAGTCTAGAATGTAATGTGTCCAAAGCATTTGATTTGAGAATAAATTCTCAGTTATTTTAATGTAGGGCCACACTTGTTTTCAAGATATATCATTTTGTGTGTATGTGTGTGTACATTGACCTTTAATGTTTGATTTAATGCATTTCAAAACCTTTATATTCCTTTTTTCTTTATATCTATTTATTTTTTCAGAAAATTAAAATGAAAACTCCAAAAAAAAAAAAAAAAAAGAAGAAGAAGAAGAGGAAGGAATTTTTTCCTTCCTTCCAGTTGCTCCTACCGAGAATTGTGGTCATCTTTTTCAAAGATACACAATCGTTTTAGGGTCAGCCTGGGTCATTCCTAATGCTCCCGTTCAAATCTAGGGAGAGCTGTGGCTGCATAATCAGCTATTTGTCTGCAAGAGAAAAAAGATCACCTACCACCATCTTGGGGGCAGAATTTTTGTATTCCTATAATATTAATTTTCTGGAACTGTTTTCTTTTTCTGAATCTTTTCTGACCTGGAGAACTTCTAATTGATTTATCATTTTTGTAGTTCAACTTCAGTGGTATGGCCACTCTTCAATACTTTATAATAGTTAGTTTGCAGAGGAAAAAGAAGGCTTTGCTGGGAATGTTTTTGTGAAAAAGAAGCAGCAAAATTAGTAGCGTAGGAGGAATACCAGGCAGTTTGTAAGGTAGAATAATAATGAACCATACAAGAGCAAGTTTCTCCAGATGAGCTGTTCAGAGCATCCAGGCATGGGAGGTGCGTCTGTCTCTTGTTCGATAGGCTGAGCTGATTTCTGAGGACATTCCTCCTTGAGGCTTCTCCTTAGTGTCCCTAGTTTTTGCTCAGCCTTCATTTGAGAAAGGCAATCTTTCCTTGTCTGGATACTTAGAGCAGAAATTGAATATCAAAACTTCAAGAACTCTGGTCAGATTGCAGCCTCTGGCTGCCCACAATCATAGCGCTCCAAAAATTCATCAAAAAAAGTCTCCAACGCCTTTTTTTTTTAACAATCAGCTGGCAGTCGGAGATCTAAGCCAACTGCTGAGGTGATAACAGCAATCCGAGCAGAGGCTCGAGATCATGCTGCATTTTAAAAGACACCAACAGCTTATTCCGTCACCTAACAACAGAAGAGGTAATCAGAGCTCTCCTGCTCGGCCGTTGGGTAAAATAACTGGCTGCCGGGAGGTTTCTAGAACACTCTTCTCTCTCAACTAATGTAGAATAATGTGGGACCAGAAAATTAACTTGTCCAGTTTGCCATTATATTGTACCATCCTTCACAAATCAGTTGCTCTCAGGTTATTCCAAGAAGCAAAGCCACCGATGGCTATCCATTCAAAATGGATGGGCCAACAAGGGCAGGTGAAATGCACGTCAATGTATTTTTTTAAAAAATGCTACACTGATAAAATTGTCACAATTACAACTCATACTCTGCTTATTTTAATAGCGCCAGATGGAGTTTCCTTGGCAAAACGCTCAAGAAGAAGTGAATCGCAAAAGGCTGCAGAGCAATTGATAAGGGAGCGAGAGATGACGCGCAAGGAAGGAATACTTGAGAAAGAGGAGCTTGGTAAAGATCCCAAAGAAGCAGCTCTAACAGAAGAGCTGCTAGCCCACCAAAGACCAAGTCTTAGAGGAGACCAGGCACTAAAACCTGAACTTGTGACAAGAAAAAGAGAATGGGAAAGAGAATCCATAGAATCAGAACTGGCCAGTTTAGAAAAAGAAATAACCCCCAAGGATGGAAAAATTGAGAGCATGGCAAAAGCAGAAGAAATGGCAAGAGACAGAGAAAGATTTCTAGGGGGATCCAGATCAGAAGAGGAGGAAGCTGAAGGCGCTCAAGTTAGTGAGGAGTTAAGAGCAGCAAAGAGAGAACAGGTGCGACGGCAAATCGCTGAGGGAAAAGAAGACGTAGAAGTGACTGAGGCACCAAAAGCTTTAAAGACAAGAGAATTAGAAGGAATTAAGGCAGTGGACAGAGACATGCTTGAAGCAAAAGAAAAGATGAAAGGAGAATATAAGACAGCTAAAGATTGGGAGGCAACATTTGCAGAAAAGATCCGTATGGGAGAGGTACCAGAAAAGGTGGAAGAAGCTGAACCCAAAGAGAAGGTCACTTTTCAAGAAAAAAACCATAAAGCAGAGGCCGAAAGAAAAGCTGGCATAATGGAAAAGGAAAGAAAGGATGAGGCATTTTTGAGGGAAGATGAAGAGGGAAAATATGAATTGAGGCCTATTTCCCCTATGGAAGCAGGACTTAGACCACCACAATTAAAAATGAAGGATGAAGATGAAACAGCAGCTGCTGCAGAAAAGGCAAACACTGGTGGAAGAGAGGTTCCATCTGAGATGGCAGAAACAGTCCAAGACATTTCATCCAGATGGGATGAAGATTTATACCAAGAATATCCAGATGTTACTGGGATGAAAGCCATATCTACAGAAGATTTAACCTTCAAGAAAATAAAGCCTTTGGTGGGTGAGGCCTTCCTCGACCATGAAATTGAAATAACTGAGGAGGACAAGTTAGCAGGCAAACCATATTCTGAAAGAGAGAAAGACAGACAAGAAAGAGCAAAAGATATTTTAGCATTTGAACAAACAGCCCAAGGAGAAAAGGCTATAGTACAACCTGTAGAAAGAGGAGTTGAAGAAAGAGGAAAAGAAGAGAGGCTAAAGTCCAAAATGGCAGCTCCAGAAGAGAAACTGGACTTGGAGAAAGAAGGGCTTTATATTGAACCTGACTTAGAATCTATGGCAGGATTGATGGAAGAATTAGCGGAGAAGGAAAAGGCAAAAGGAAAGATGTGGGTTGAAGAGGCAGAAGGAGAAATAAAAGGATTGTCTCCAAGACAGAAAATGATTGAGGAAGAACAGAAAGCACTGAGAAGAAAGGCAGAAATTGAAGAGGGAGGCACTGAGATGGCACTTAAAGGAGAGGCAGAAATAGTTGAGACAGAAGTTAAAACTAAAGGGAAAGTAGAAAAAGGAGAGGTAGGAAAGAAAATGGAATATCCATGGGAATCAGAAGGAGACATGGCACTTAAAAGGGAGACAGCAACTGGAGAGGCTAAAGTTGATGTGGGACGTGAGGGGCAGTTAGAAGTCACAGAGGCAGAAGCTGACATGACACTTAAAGGGGAGGCAGAAAGAAGACACACTAAAGCTACATTGCTACCCAAAGACAGGTTAGATGCTGAAGAAGCAAAAGCTGACATAACACTTAAAGAGGAGGAAGAAACTGGACGTGTCAAAGCTAAAGTGGGACCTAAAGGGGAATTATATCCTGAAGAAGCAGAAGCTGAGATGATACTTGAAAGAGAGGCAGAAACTGGACGTGTCAAAGTTAAGGTGGGACATAAAGGAGGGTTATATCCTGAAGAAGCAGAAGCTGAGATGGCACGTAAAGAAGAAGCAGAGCCTGGACGTGTCAAAGCTAAGGTGGGACCTAAAGGAGGGTTATATGCTGAAGAAGAAGCTGAGATGGCATTTGAAAGAGAAGCAGAACCTGGACGTGTCAAAGCTAAGGTGGAACCTAAAGGGGAGTTATATGCTGAAGAAGAAGAAGACGCTGAGATGGCACTTGAAAGAGAAGCAGAACCTGGACGTGTCAAAGCTAGGGTGGAACCTAAAGGGGAGTTATATGCTGAAGAAGAAGAAGCTGAGATGGCACTTGAAAGAGAAGCAGAACCTGGACGTGTCAAAGCTAAGGTAGAACCTAAAGGGGAGTTATATCCTGAAGAAGACGAAGAAGCTGAGATGGCACTTGAAAGAGAAGCAGAGCCTGGACTTATCAAAGCTAAAGTGAGACCTAAAGGGGAGTTATATGCTGTAGAAGAAGAAGCTGAGATGATACTTGAAAGAGAGGCAGAAACTGGAC